GCAAGAGAGTACAATTGAGTGCGCGATATGGATCATAGAATGACGGATATAGAGAAGGAACTGATAGCATTCACTAAGAAGCTGTCAATAGAACTGATTCCGGCTTAGATATTCATCAAGCGCCCAGCGTAGCGCTAGATTAAGTCGGGATGTTACTTCATAATGGATCGATCTGAGGCAAAAGCCGCTGATACTAGTGGGATTATATTTGCCAAGTCTGCATTGCATAGTAGCATAGATAGACTCGGTACTATCTCCAAAATGTAAAATATTTAAACATCGTAGGGCTAAATGAGATATGGGTACAGATGCATGTCGTAAAATACTAGACTGAGGGGTCTGCTAGTCTAGCATTAGTCGGATCTTAGTCGGCCAGTCGTACTCCGCAGCGAGCCACCATGCTGGACGTCTGAGCCCCAACCTCATCGGTAATTTGTAGCGTTGCATCGCTAAATCTTTCCAAGTTCCTACCCCTCAATGGAGTACAGGATCGCCTTCGCCGTCAAATTATATACTCCCCACTCATCCTCATCATCAGCGCCACCGTCTCCATTTTAGTCCCTGGTATATACATTTCTTTTTCTATGCGGCCCGTTTTGATCGTCACACGCTAGGGCATTACCATGCGTCTCCAAGCCACCCGCTCTCTGGCCCTCCTGGCCACCGTCACAGCCGCTGCCGCTAAGGATATCGTATCTTTCCTTTATCCCGAAAGATCCTTTCCTAACGATGCCAAGCTCATTGGCACTGTAGGTATCCCTATTCAATGAAGAGAGTAGACCTCTAACCATCACAACCAGACTGGTGGCACCCTTACTACCCTTGCATTTAACTGCGCTGAGGCTGCACCCACCACTGTTACCAGTGTCGCAGCTACTACATCCATTGCAGCACCCAACGATGATGATGACCAGTGCTGGGTCCCCGGCGCGGGTTATACCATAACGGCGGGAAGCACCACCTTTGAGTTTGCCTATACGACCCATGGCTTGTATGTATTAATCCCTCCAAAGAGCTGTAGCATAAAAGGCTTGAGAACAACAGGTCGAAGAAACTAATGAACCTAGCACCATCTCAGCCGGCTGCTCTTTCGCCAGCACCACCTACGCATCCTGCAAAGCCACTAGTACTTTCGTCTCGGACACCGGAGTTCAGAGTTATGACACCAGCTCCCGCATCCCCCATATGACCGTCACCATCACTGCCACTGAGTCTGTTTCTGCCAGTGCTACCGCCTCAGCCACAAGCTCCAGTGTTTCTAAGACCACCACTTCTGATACCAGTAGTACTACAGTGGAATCTTCCGCTTCATACTCTGCCACTTCCACTTCCACCGCGGACATTAGTGACAATGCGGCTATGCCATTGGCTACTGGAGCTGCTCAGTGGGTGGCTGGTGGCGCGGCTATGATGCTTGCCCTGGCGATAGCTTAGATATGAATTTGGACGGCAAAATTAGTTCACGAGGGGCAATTTGTTTGCTGTGTTGATGTTGCTAGCCTGTTGCGATCAATGAAACGCATAGGGGGGAGAGTGTGTGTTAGTAAAGCACGATATGAAGGAAGCTACCTAAAATCTGTAAATAGTTTGTCTAGTGATGGGCAACTATTTCCCAAGGTCCAAAGGTAGTACTTCATGCATGGAACATGGCACCTCTCCGCACTTCGATTATTGTTTTTATGAAATTCGATAGGATTAACTCCGTAATTATATCAAGAATAGAGCTTCGAATCGCGGCGTGAACCTTCGGGGATACGGACGAGAACGGTGCTCGGCCTTCAGTTCGTCCCGATGGTTTAGGTAATTCAATAAATTAGTGGAGTAGGGTCTATAACAGACTAGTGCTTAGCTTAGTCTGCAACATTCCAGCTGTATGCAAAACGGCATATTTATAATCGAGCAAGTTGGACATGCTCTATCGCCGATCCTAGTGGGCCGGAGCTTAAGCATATTCCTCTGTCAACCGTGCATGGTGAATCGGAGTTTATCTCGCTATACGCAAAGTCCGCTGGATATTACAAATCCGACGGATGGCCCTCCGATTTGCTATCAGATAAGATTGACACGTGCCGGACACCCGAATATCACGTAGCTTTTGTCAGCCTTAGTAACGCGGCGAATCTCCGGTCCAATCATCGTCTCTCATTGCAGGTCTATAGATACCCGATTCAGAAAATATCCCGAGTGTTTGTCTCCAAATCCGAGTTTTTTTACATCAGACGATTGACGTGATTGGCAATTACTTGGCTAATAAATTCTGAGCCATCTCGCCATATGTGCCATTGTCAACTCCCGTAGTACTTTTTGGCCACTCCTCCTTCCTTGAACAGGCTTGAACGACAACAACTTTCATAAAGATGAGTGAGAAGACGGAGATTGGCGAAGGCAGTGACAAGGCCGAAGTGCCACCAACTGCAGTCTCCTTTTTCGACCCCTCGCTGAAGTCCGTTCGACGTCAAGTGTTTATCCAATGGGGCCGTACAGGTGAGCGGAAAACATCTGTTCTCTGCATGTCGATTGTGCGAAACTTACTAAACGTACCCTCGTATAGTTCTCACGCTTTGCGTCTTCATCCTCTGTATCCTTTCTCTATACTGGGCCGTTCAGTTTCGTGTTGAAGAGAATCTCCATTCGCTAACAGTCTGGGTTGTCGACTTTGATGGCATGGCCGATCCGTATCGTGATACGCAACCGATTGTGGGACCTGCAGTGACGGAGGTGGCAGAGAAGCTAATCCAAACCTCTGAAACCGGCCGATTGGGATATACCATAAAATCTCCAGATGAGTTTAGCTATGATCCTTGGGCCGTGCGACAGGGTGTATATGATGAGCATGCATATGCTGCCATCATCGTCAACGCGAATGCAACTACTCTTCTCCACGATGCTGTCAGGAACGGAAATTCCTCGTACGATCCTACCGGGGCCGCGCAATTCGTTGTTATTACCGCTCGTGACGAAACGACGTATTCCAGTTATATCACACCGGGATTGACAGCCTTTGCGAACACAGTCTTGGCGGAATTCGGACCACGCTGGGTACAAACCGTTGCGCAAGAATCGCTGAACATTTCGAATGTGCCCCAAGCAATAAACCCGGCCATTGGATTCAACACTCTGGATCTTAGGCCGTTCGGTCCGGCCGCTGCGACACCGTCTGTGACGATCGGTTTGATCTACCTTATTATCATCGCCTTCTTCAATTCGCCATTCTTGATGCCAATTCACGCGCAATTCCTCAAAGGCAATCATCCTCCCCTGAAGATTCCGCAGTGGCTGCTTTGGCGTGTATGTTCCAACATCACAGCGTACTTCTTCCTATCCCTGTTTTACTCTTTTGTGTCGTTGGCCTTCCAGATCCCGTTCAGCAACTCCCCGGCACCAGATACCGTTTCTGCTAGCAACCCGAATGCCTATGGACATGGATCCTTTGTGGTGTTCTGGATGTTGAACTGGGTAGGGATGAGTGCTCTCGGTTTTCCTCTGGAGAATATGGCCATGGTCTTAGGATTCCCGTGGAGCTCGCTGTTCCTTATTTTCTGGGTCATCAGTAACGTTGCCACCGGATTCTATGCGTTGGACTTAGCTCCGGGATTCTTCCGATGGGGTTACGCATGGCCGCTGCATCGGAGTAAGTCTTCCTCTTCTCTCATCTTTAAAATTAAGACTAATGCAATCCAGTTGTCGAGGCGCTACGTACCATCCTCTTCGGGACACATTCTCGCATCGGCCTGGATTTCGGTGTCCTTTTTGCCTGGATCGGCGTATCTATTTTGTTCTTCCCGTTTGCCTCTTTCATCATGAGATGGAAGATGAAGCGGGGTCTCTAATTTGTGGTCTTTCCTGATTATCTTTGTTTCTTCTTTTATGTTTGCGCTGTTAGAAGTATAGATTAACACCTATGGATTAGAGAGAAGTATAGATTAGACCAGTATAGATTAATGATGCCATGCCTCTGTTGTTGCATTAGGTTCAAATGGTAGACTACATCAAATACAGCTCGATTGAGTCGGAGTGTAACCAAAGAAGATTCAGATATACTTTTATGCACCTGCTAGTAGTTACTACTCGTAAATATTAGCGGTAGGACCAGCCCTATTTGAAGCTTAGTTTTAGGTTGCGCAGGTCATTCAAGTAAGCCTGAAGCATGGCATGGTATGGAATTCTTAATACATAACTAACACCTCTATCACTGAAGATTTCACCAAATAGCTTCTTCGATACTGTGAAAAATGACCAGAGCTAAAATCTATTCCTGTCATGCATAAACAACTCCGTTCACTGCTCTGATGGAATGGTATAAATGTGCATGTAAGAAGGGCTCAAGCCTGTATATTTACCCACGTACCCGCGGATATAAATCCAATCGAGGAACTCTTCGCTAAGCTAAAGGCAATCATAAGACGGCATTGGCAAACCTACGAAGAGAACCCCGGCCAGGACTTTGATTATTCCCTTGAATAGTGTATCGAAACTGTTAGTGCGAGGAAACAAAATGCAGCAGGGCATTTCTAGAATGCCGGTCTGACAATCGAGGTCTTATAGAGCAGCGGAAGTCTTACTCTGAACACCATGTTGTGTTCAGCCCCTGATAGTAATATGCTTTTTACCTGGAAAGGTAGACAATATAGAATGATAAAGCCTTCTTATATACAGCGAGAACCTGTGAGTTCCCTCCTGTGGGTAGCTTTTCCATTTTCAGTATACTCATTTTCCCCAACATCACGCAATGAGCACCCATTTATCAGTTTCCAGTATATGATGTGTTATTACCTAGGGGTTGCGGCTGGCAGCTTTAGATGGACTGGTCTGTGGGATGATCCGGCCTGTAAGCGGGAATAAAGTCCTACAGTAGGTTTCAATGCTAGTGTCCTACAATAATACAGTCTGTCTTTGAACACAAGGAGTTAAGTTATTGATGAGAGCTTAATTTCTTTTCTCATGAACATCTGCATTAAGTGCGACTTTCCCGAATTTAGGATTCCCAAGCATATCACTCCTATAGCTGTGTTGAAGAGCAAGCAACCAATTGTCATTATATAACCCATTCAGACTTGTACGTTTCGATAGCTACTCGCCGCATATTCCAATATGGCTGGTCTAGTATGGTGTGGACCATGTTCCCTGACCCATAACACTGTACCTCCGATTGACCGGCGCATTGAGTCTTCCACTTAACACCACCCCGTTGTCCAGCTGGGAATCCATCTCAGATGCTCCAATCACCCCCTCCACATTGTGGATGCCTTCCAGATCACCGTCGTAGGTAATTGTGGATGACGGCACAGAGTATGCTGGGACAGCAGATGAAAATTGTCCAGTGAAGGTCCTCTGCGTATTGTCGGGCATCGTATAGATCCCGGTAAAATACCCCCTCCCATCACTGGTGAAGGTCCCCTGAGCAGTATTACTCATCTATATATAAGGCTAGTTAGATGCAGTTAAATCAAATAGGTTAGAAGATACATAATACACGACGCTTACTGTGTGTTTCAAGATATTCGGAATAAAAAAGCTGTTCTAATTTAGTTCAAATGTTACCAACGATGAATGGCAGATCTGGACTTCAAAGGGGTAAAGAAAAGAGCTGCAATTTATTCTCATCAGTATATTACCGTGCTAAAGAAGTATCATACTAATCATCTTAGCTTGAGATGATCCGTATATGACGCATGGCTAACATATTACTCGCCACACGCATCAGATGATCTAGGCCTTGATGTCATATATGTTTTCCTGGGGCAGGTCGTGTGACCTTCTATCTTAAAGTTCATCTATAATTAATGAGGTATTCTGGAACTAATCTGACATTGTTTGGTTTTCTTGATGAAGGGTCTATCAATATCATGATGGACTTGGGTCCATTGTAGAAATAATATGCTAAATATTCATTCTTGACCAGATGGGGCCAATGATAGTGTCGTATTTAATCAAGGGGCTTTAAATGAACAGTGATATAGAATCTTTATGTGGATAACTCCAGTATATTGCCGGTGCTTGACCTTTCAGCGCTGGTGAAGAAATCCATTTTACTGGTTGCCTACGTCATGAGTCATGTGTCATGGCCTGCATATGGAGAGTTGATCGAGTTTCCCCGCAAGACCCAGCCCTGGGTCGTCGGGTTTAGCGGAGAACACGTGCCACTCTAATAGCAACCCTCCCTGCTATTCATCCACTACACAAACAAGAGGTTACCTCGACAAGGCGGAATGAATCGGGACATGGAGATGACTATACTCTAACCACCACTAATACAATCCAAATTCACCGTGTAACCAAAGTCCAAGTTTTGATGATCCAAGAACCCACATATAGGGATAGCGATAGACATCTACTTCTCATATCTGGATTTGGGGGAAAGATCATAGACACCTTAGTTCTTAGGACCGTTGGTACTGTTTGCGAGTTGTATGAGCATAAGTCCCCTCGGAGGAGGTGATGAGGATAGGTGTTATTCAGGCATGGACTGTGAGGTTGGAGTACCAGGGGTGTTGGGTTGTGGAGGGGGCTTTGGAGGCTGCTGTTGAGCTTGACATAGAGTGGCTTTAGCCTAGTTGGTAGGTAATCATCCCAGTTATTGCTATTTGCTTCGAATCTCGGCACCATGCTTCTCCGTACATGATGTTCATTCCATGATACCAAACGTTGGACGTCTTTTGTAGACCGACATCTCTTATTTACTTTCCGAGTGCTACTCCCAGGAAACTGAATCCCAAAAATTAAATCACTCCTTTCTAGACGCATACATCTGAAGAAAAAGCCTCAATGTTTCCGTACAATCCGAGACACCCATTATCAACTCCACCATTCGCAGCCCCGGGCCATGCTGAAAGCTCTCCCCCGACAAAACACTGTCAAGCTCCCCCCACGTTTTCACCCTCGCAGTAAACACAGGATAGGAATCGTCGGAAGGAGCCCCAAAATAGGAAGGTGAATCCAGATATCGCCACATTGCAATATCATTGTACTCGGCATCCATGCCATGAATTAAACGCTCGATCGTGTAGCCGTCATTATTGATCACAAAAATAATGGCACTCAGTTTCTTCCGAATTATAGTGCTCAGCTCTTGGGCTGTCACTTGGAAGCTGCCATCACCAATGAAAAGGATTGTTCGTCCTTGTGAGCCCATGTTTCGCTGTGCTAGGGCCACTCCTTGGGCGGCGCCGAGCATGTAGCCGATTGACAGCCAGACACCGGAGTTTATCATGCTCACGTTTCGAGGAAAGATGAAGTCGCGTCCACCGTTACTTGCAGTGCCCGTCTCTGTTAGGATTATATCTCCGGGACGAAAGAAGTGTGACATGCGTTTGAAGAATATGTTTTGTGTCAGTACCCCTTTACTGCTGGCTGGTGGGATGCGCTTTAATGCAGATCGTGGGTTTGGTAGCTTCGGGTATGGCCAGAAGGAGAGCATAACATCCTGAAGGTGGTCAAGTACCCTTCTTAATACACCTTTCGGGAAGATATTGGAGACCTTGCCATCAATAGTGACGGAAGTCTGGTCGAAGACAATGGACACGTTGGGATTAGGGATCGTAGTGAAACAAGAGGTATTAACATTGCTGTGGACTGGACCGATATTGATGATCAAATCGCAAGACTCGACATATGGCACATACGACCCTTCTCCTACCGATGCATAAATGCCGTGGAAGTTTGGCAGAGTTTCATCTGTGATCCCCTTTCCGAAGGGTGTCGTGGCAGTTGGGAACCCGGTCATTTTGACGAGCTCATCTGCCTCGCTCACTAGTCCGTAGCGTGACGTGCCAACATCGATCAAAATAAATGGTTGCCTCGCACTGCTGATTCTCTCAACAATGATATCAGATACCTCCTGCTCAATCTCCGGGTTGTTGGAAGGTGGGCTGAGCTCTAGAGGTCGGCGAAGAGCTGCGGCGGGGACGGGCTCGAGAACCATGTCCGCCGGAACTTGCAAGTACACCGGTCGAGATTGAATCACACATTCCCGTATCAGCCGGTCAATCTGTGCGGGAGCTGTGGAAGCATCCCAAAGATTCTCTTGTGCCACCGTGATCTTGGAGTACATCTCTGCGAACATGGTGAAATCGCTTGGTTTCCCACTACACATGGAATGGTGAAGTTTCGCCCCTCGCGTCTGCATTACACGTTTCGGTGTCCCAACAATGTGAACTACCGGAGCCATTTCAGCATATGAGCCCGCGACAGCGTTGATAGCCGATAGCTCTCCCACGCCGAACGTTGTGACCAGGGCACCGATGCCTTTGACTCGTGCATACCCGTCCGCGGCGTAGCCGGCATTGAGCTCGTTGCAGTTCCCAACCCACTCCAGCCCAGCTGGAACAATATAGTCCATCATCAAAAGATTGTAGTCGCCGGGGACTCCATGGACGGCCTGCAAGCCAGCCTGACGGAGACGTCGGAAGAGATACTCCGTCAGATGAATCGTCTCAGACATGGTCATTTTATTAGTAAAGATGGCACTAAAAGAGCTTCACGACTAAAGAGCTGCGTGAAGGTTTGACGCTTGCTCTAATTTATAATTCACCAACTACGCCGAGCATATCTAGGAGGACAAGAGGAGTGAATTCTGAAACCACCCGGAGTAGTATTCCGTGTTCTTTTGATCTACAACACTGCCAAGGCCCCTAAGTGTGAAGGATTTCAGCCCTAATGCACGGTGTCAGGGCTAGTTATGGAAGAGGAGCCGGTTTTTATTCTAGATTTAAACCACTGGCACAATTAGAGTGACTGCATTGAGCTTGTAGGGGTATTGAATAGAGTTAACTATAAGCATGTTTACTTTATTTGATTCTATTCGGTGATGGCTGTTTAGCATTAACGTTTTATCTGTGGTCTTCCCCAGCCAATGCAATGGAGCAATTTCAGTGCGCGAATGTCTTCACTATCCGTTCCATGGAACGGAAAAGAACCCTTAGCCGGCAATATCACAAAACCACACATTTTCCCTATCTTCATCTCATCCCATAATAAGAGACTAAAGGCCATATCAAGCACATCAAAAAAACGCCCTATGAAATCTCCACAAATAGCATATTAATATAAATCCTAGAACTATAAGAATAATTACCTGCTTTCCCACCATACCATGTAGTAGCGGTCAAGAGCCCTACAGTCGGAACACCTTCGAACACCCCTCCCACTTTCTTCGGAACATTTTCGGATTTTTACTATATTACCTGCTCAGATGTCTTGAACTATACTCCATATAAGGTTAACAGGAACCCACACTAAGAGAAACTAAAAATGTGGGGCCGACAACGGAGGTCTCGGAAGCAGGGCAGGGTTCACTCTTTGGCTTCAATGCGTGTCTTTGCTAGCTCTGGTTCGTGGGACTTTATCCTCACAAATCCAAGGTATATCTTGAAAGTCCCTATGGAAAAGATTCCTCGAACCAACCCACTCAGGAAGTAGTGAACGAGTACGTCCTTTCGAGTCAAGCCAAGCCGACTAGTACCTTTCCTCTCTTGGCAAGTTTCGCATCATTTTAGTCTCCCCAGCGACATATGAAAGTGGGCACCGTCAGTGCGAGCTCCTTCTATGGGGTACAGTCTGCAGGAATATAGGCCCGGCTATCGCGCTAGTATCCGCACTCCACCTGCGTGGCCTTGCTTTTGGCATGGCATGGCATGACATGATAAGGGCAAGAACTTGCTTGGTTATTGGCTGATTGCAGTTGGTTGGGCCATAGCTGGGACTATAGCTGTAGATTACGGCGTATAGTGATTAATAGGTTGCTTTATACTTCGTATTCTTGGATTTTGTTTTGTAGACTTGTGTGGTGGGTTGTCGTCTGTGGTCGCATGCTGAGCATGTCTTTCGTCGATTGACCGATTAACCTTGTATATGCGGTTACTTGATAGAAGAGGAGCTCAAGAGAGGCTGGAAAGAGCATTGAGGTGGAGACAGCAAATCAGAAGGACAGAGATACTATACAAGTCTAGTTCCTATAGTCCTTCTTTAGGTAAACTGCTGTAAACCTCAGTCGATCAGCTTGCGAGTTTAGTGCTTTCTTGCTAAACAGATACTTCTGACCAACCGGAGAGACTCCGATAGCTCGACCCCCACATGAGCTTTCTATTATATTAGTAGGTCAACTATTAGCTTATGTTGGTTTAATTAGGTCACCTGCATGAACCTGTAAATAGCGTAATCAGCCTTGCGTATATATTCTCGGTCAGGGTGGTGCCCTAATTTATAACGTGTAATCTTCTTATCAAAAGAATACGCCCACCATAATCAGGGTTGCCAATAATTGGAAGAGCTTCTGCTGCGGCCTTCATTTGACATTGATTTAGTACGAGGCCAGGGAGCCGATATCGTCCTCGGTAATAGAGCAATGTAAATGTAATTCTCTGATGGTAGAAGGCTTATCAGCTCTGTCGAAGCCCTTTTTGTGTCTGGAGAGGCCTTGCCACGCTATCGAAGTATGCTAATTGGCTTCTAGGTCAGTTTACAATATAAGCTGATGAATCTGTGGGGCACTTATGTAAATACAATCATACTCGACTCTGACGTTGGGTTGCAAAGCGACAATTAAAGCTACACTGACGAGGCACCCAAAAGCCAAAGATGCTTGTGCTATAGAATGTAGACTCGATTTCGTTAGTAGTCTCCGAAACTATGTGCAAGCAGACGATTAGGCTTCACATTCGATGATTACTAGCTATCAATCATGTATCAAGCTTCCATGAGGTGATCTGAGAGCATTATGGTCCCAGCATAAGCTGTGGAAGTCATGCCAGCTAGGCATCCCCATCGGAGAAGAATCTCCCATCGTCCAACACAGCTCCGATTGCCCAACTAATCCCAGCACCAACCACACTCCCATGATCTTCATCTCGATATTCCTTTACCCGCACCTTTTGCAATCGCCCACTCTGTCGCAGACAATTTGCTAGCGCATCGGCGTTATCTTTCATTTTTCTTTCCTGCGACAAAGCTTTCACTCTCCGGTATTTATCCTCGCTCCAGCTTGGGTGGCACCGTCGGTCTTGCTCCAGGTTCCCATATATAATTATTAGAGTAGGCAAAGTGGTAGACGACTCAGGCCCTCCACCATCCATACGTTGCTTCAAGAAACGCTCTGCTTCTCCCAGAATAAACTCATTGCTCCACCATATTGAAGGGCTAATGGCAATGAAGGTATCAAAGGGCGTTATGTTCTCAAAAAGCGCATGTAATGTGCAAAGCCCGCCCAAGGAATGGCCGATGAGGATTTCTTTATTCACGCAGAGACTAGAGAAGACTTCTGCAAGCAAAGTGGTCCGTACAGCACCGACAAGGAATTCAAGAAATCGCGTTGCACCACCGTGGGGGATAGCTTGTTGCTCGCCATCGATTCCGCATGGTGCTACATAGCTATCACATGGCGGGGTGTAGTCATATTGCCTTCGCGGACTGTATGGCCTGTCTTCGATTGGATACCCAATCCCTACCACAACCGCATTATCGCTTGTTGGAAGCATTGCACTGCGGCGGGAAGCTTCAGTTGCGGTGAAGAAGAGGGCATTACCATCAAGCACATAACTAAAATAAGCGTTAGGAGCAAATGCTCTTCGTCGATAATGCTGGTAGATTGGTGGTTAACATACATGATGGAGGCACTATGACCGGGAGTCTTAGGATCATTCCAGGCTAAAGGCCACGCCACCTGAATCTGGTATGCATCGCCACCAGGATCCTTCAGCTCCAGCTGTAGTGTATTGGGAGCATGTGCAGACATGTGTAACGATTCAAAAAGTCCACGCTTCATATATCACTATAATGACAGCCAGAAATGTGTGTGTCCTCACAGTGACCTCCAAATCCCACCTAACAAACAACAGTTCTTCATGAAGAGGTGCAAGCGAGCTGGGTAGGCGTAGGTACCAGGTATTATCGTAAAGGATACCACATGCAGAACGTCGCATGTAGAATATCTAGCTCACCGAATGGGATATTAGTATATCCTTGGCCGATCTCCTTGCTTACTGTCTTTAGTATATCATTAGGTAAACAATGCTTGGCTCTCGTATCCCGGCGGTTCTAACCAACAGCAATCGTAGTTATATACCCACTATAGGGTATCTGGCTTGGCAAGGCGTAGGAAGTCAATCTAATCAGATCATCAGATACGGGATATCCGATAATAGGCCGTCATGTCCGTGTTTATGCCGAGTTTTCCGTTCTACAGATAGTAGCAGGGAGTCGGGAAGGATAGGAATTACGTGATAGTATGGATGGGTAAAGGTAGGTAGGATCGTGTTTCTAACAGTGGTGCCATTCCGGGCCACAAACATCTAGGCACCACTCGCTATGGCAATACGGAATACACTTGGGATAAATGTAACTCAAATATTTCAGCAGATACATTATAACGGAACCACTTCCGTGTTTTAAGCTTCCGCTTGTCCTTCACCTGCGCCTTGCCCTATCCTTTTCTTGAATTCAATTCTACGCCACACTGCCCTAACTGCACCCAATAATTCTTTTAAACTGCTATATTCCCCCAGTCTAGACGTACGACAATGGACCAAGAAACAATATCCCAATCGCAGCCACAGAGGCCTCCAGATACAGATTCAAGTAACAAACAGACAGACGATAGAATTACTGAGGTCCTATCCGATAGACACGATGTTGAGACCGGTTCGACTGCCGATAGTGTCCAAGCAGGAGTACAGCGAGCAGCATTACTACGAAAGACGTGGTCTAAAAAGGGCATGATAATTACTTTTATGGGGTACTACATCACCTTACGGACGTGAAAAAAGACTGCAAGCTAAAGAAGTCTCTGTTAGTCTATTTCTATATACACTCGCGACGCACTTCGGAGATTATTCCAGCCAGGTCTACATTCCATACACCACGAGTTCCTTCAAGAGCCACTCTTCGATGAGTGCAGCAAGAGTGGCTAGTAATATCGCAAGTATTACTGCATACCCTATTATTGCTAAACTGGGAGATGTACGACCCTCTTCTCCTCTCTTTTGTTGGTTCATCAAGGGCCATCAAAATAGCCATAGGTTCCAATATTAACATCGAACACCAGGTATTTGGAAGAGGAGAGATGTTCACCTTTTCGATTCTGATCACCACATTGTGTTATGCCATTTATGCTGCATGCACGAATTTATCGCAATATGCTGTATGTGAGATGGAGTCTCGTCAGACCCCCAAATATACGTTACAAACCATTACAGACTGACTGGTTATCGTTAGGTTGCTGCAGTCTTCCACTCTGTCGGTTCAACCGGCTTCGGTCTCACGCAGCAAGTCTTTATCGCCGACGTTACAAACCTGATCAACCGTGGTCTATGGTCAACATTGCCCGACTCAATATCTACTATACCGACATTATACCTTGGCACAACGATTGGGCAATCCGTGTTGGACCACTCCACCTGGCGCTGGGGCTGGGGCATGTGGGCTATCGCACTGCCTATCTGTGGTCTTCCCTTACTGGGTTCTGTATTTTTCCACCAATATCGAGCAATGAGAAATGGGCTTGGAAAAAAGCACCTTGCTGCTCAGCTTGGGTTACACGCCTCCCAGCCATGGTGGAAACAGGCATACGAACTATTATGGGTTCAGCTCGACCTCCCAGGTGGTCTTCTTCTCCTAGCAGGGTTGGCTTTGACTTTGATACCCATTTCCTTAACAGGAGCGAATCGAAGTGATCGTTGGCAGAGTGCTACATTCATTGCCCTACTCGTCGTCGGTATCGTGCTCCTCGTTCTTTTTGCGCTTTGGGATATTTTCGTCGCGAAGAAGCCATTCATCCCGTACAGAATGGTTAAGAGCAAGACGGTCGCAGCTGCTTGTTTATTAGGAGCCTTAGACTTTCTCCATTACTCTATGTTCACCGTGTTCTACAGCAGTTACCTTCAAGTAGTGGGTGGCTACTCTCCCGGACATGCAACTAGGATCGAGTAAGTACACATCCAAGACCCTTCTCTGAATCTTTTTCTACTCTCAATACGATAGGTATTCATATTTCTTTGATCTCTGATTCCTGTTCCATAGTAATGCCCTACGCGTATCCTTCCAAGTCTCAGGCATCTTCGCCGGCCTTTTCATGAAATACACCAAGCGGTCGCAAGTCTGGGTCCTAGTCGGAGCTCCTCTCTGCGTCCTTGGCATGGGCATCCTCCTCTATCTCATCGATATGGGAGACGGTAAAATGGGCAACGAGGCATCTTTTGTAACAGCAAAAGCATTAATCGGGATCGGTCGAGGATTCTACCAAACCGCATCGCAGGTCTCAGCACAAGCGGTAGTATCAAAGCAAGAAATATCCGTTGTGACAGCTGTATTCTTCGCCTCAATGGGAGTAGGCGGGGCGATTGGCACCAGGTACGTATTCCAATCGTTGAGAAATCAATATCCTTTCTCTGTCTGGGTTCTAAATGCTACAATCTCATCATCGCTGACCACCTTGTATGATAGCATATCAGGAGCAATATGGAGAAACAACCTTCCCACGAAACTACAGAAATATCTTCCCGATGAACTAAAGCCGCAAGCGATGGCTATTTTCCAGTCTATTGTCACGGCTAAGAAATATGCCAAGGGGACGCCAGCCCGGGAGGCTATCGATCGCAGTTATCGGGAGACACAACGGCTTCTAGCTATTGGAGGGTTGTGTGCTGTGTCACCCATGCTTATTGTTATGTTCTTCCTGAAGAATGTGCATCTTGATAAGAGAGATAACGTGGTCGAGGAAGCAGAGGAACGGTCAGATAAAGTAAACGGAGAACCAGGGAAGCAGGTGCCTTGAGGGGAAAGGTTCTTGTTGTTGAATGCCCAATAGTTCCATAGCAGTGAGCACGTAGTCTAGGGTCCATAACGGATAGTTGATATCTTTTAAACTCGATAATAGATTAGATTAAGATAAATGAAAATTATTTTCGCATTATCTTCCTACAAGACGAGGTACCCGGCTACAATTTTCTTGGCTCTCTGCTTTAAAGGATTGACGATTCGGTTCTAATGGGCTACGGTATTCTTCAGACTAACACTCAGAGACCAGGCGTGTCCAAGCTAGGGATTCGGTCACTGATATTATTTAGCACATTGAAGTTCGTTGTACTTTGTGCTTGAAAGGATACTCTCAGCCTAGATATCGACAGCCATCTCATTGGTAGCCCAGGCGATCTTCTCAATGAAGAGCTGCCAACACCCCTGAAAGTAGTCCAGGATCCTATAGATATCATTAAACTAAGCATTCTCCCTTGTCATCCACCCACCCAAGCTCCTGTACTGTCCATCCCATAACCGTGTTCCCCTTCCCTGGTACCTCCATCCAGACCTGGGGCACAGAATCGATAAGCCGCGTTTTCCCGAGTTCCTCATGCAAAGAATTTATCTGTTGGACCTCCCCATCGGTTAGTCTCGCGAGGCGTCTATTCTCGGTCAGCCGGCTTAGTGAGCTTGAATGCGGAATTACGACGATTCCACGTTGAACGAGCCATGACAAAATGATAGTCCCGACGGAACGGTCATAGCGTGATGAAAGAGAGGTGAGAAGACCACTCTCATAGATTGAGGAGGTGTTCGTGTAATGACTTGTAGGTCCGCCTGCTAGGGGGCTGTTCAATTTTGTCAGTTTATGAGAATTTCATTTCATTTAACACAATGGAGCTGAATAAATCAGTCGAACTTAACTCACCCCCAGGCGATGGGACGTATGCCTCGTTCCAGACAATATGGGACCAATTTTGTATTTGGATTCAGGGGATGGATCTCAATTTCGTTGACCACAGGCTTGATTTCCGTTTCTTTAAGCAACAGGTCCAACGTCTTCTGTGTGAGGTTCCCGACACCGATACCTCTGCAGTTAGGCCCCACGAGCTTCTCCATCTCTTTGTAGACCTCTATATAGGTTGGACTCTCATCAGCCGCCAATGGACGTGACATATCTTTTGCAAATCCTTGCGGCCAATGCATGATATAAATATCAATGTAGGTATCAAGCAAGCTCCGCGACCTCTCAAAAGCCGCACGAACATCATGGTGATCATCACTAGATAGCTTTGTCACAATAGTGATCTCCGAACGAGGCACTCCAGACTCCTTGATGGCTTCTCCAACAAGGTCCTCCGTTGCATAAATTTTAGATGTGTCAATCAAGCGATAGCCAGCTTTAATGGCTTGCACTATAAGACTGCGGACATAGTCCCTCTCTTCTTCTGGTAAAACTAAGCCTTCTGTAGCAGGTTGTCAGCCGTCATGGTTGAGATGTACAGCCCCTAGTCTAGGATGATTGCCACTGACTTTTCATAGCACCGAAACCTAGAGCAGGTATTTTCAGTCCTTATTGAGTACCCTTGTTAGCCTTGTATTCATGAACGGATGCGTCGAAATTATCACTATTGAATGTACCATTGTTCAGTTCGAAAATAGTCGAGCCCTGAGGGCTGTCGCTGTATCCGTCGGCCATAATACAGGTTGAGAGTTTCCTTGCGATTTAACACGGTACTAGACAAGCTGGCAAGACAAGTTTCTTTGGCAGGATAGCAGGGGACGCTTAAAAGATGGAAATATGAAAGGTTTTCAAAGGGGAGGCTAGACGGTCTAAGGCCTTTAAGGCCTCCCACCTATTATTAAAGCTACAAGGCTATGGTGGAGGAGCACCTCATGAGGGGCAAGCCAATACCACTGCCCGGGGTTGACGAGCCCTCCAATAGTTGTCGCTGGTAGAAAGATCCAAGATGTGGGGGCGGGAAATAAAGGAAGTCGCGAGAACACGTCAATTATGCAGGCGACTCGGGCGGAGAGTCAGCGTACAATATATTAACTAAGTGGGGAAGCAAAGCATTCTAGTTCTGATAATAAATACCTAGATTATAGGTACGGGCCCAATTGATCTATACCTCTCTAAACGTGTCCCAGAAATAAGATACTAGGATTCCTAGAATCCTATTTAATGGAAATTGGGAGAGAAAGCATCTTACACACCATCGTAAGCAAAAGCAATCTGCGACTGCCAACCAGTTGAGGGGCGCAGCTTACCGCAACCGGAGATTTTCGAGAACTACTGGTATCTTTTGACTCAAATTATATATATTTCCCTATACTGTAAAACGCCAAGTCTTGGACCTTGCAAGCATCTGAACCTGATTGAACATAGTCCATATAGGGTGAAAATTGAGGGTATAAAAACCCATTTGAGCTTATCTCTAGTCGTTACCCAACATATATATATACCTGTACCAGTTGGAAGACTGCCTAGCAATAGAGAATTGCCCTTGTCAGTATACACACTATGACCCATGGCTCCCACGTCGACTCCAGAAGTATACGCAGGAGTTGTAACAACCATTCTGCAAGTAGGGGAGCATACTTCAATAATTTACATACAGGCACAGATCCTTGCCTAGTGCACCTTATCAAAGACAGGTCATAGACACAGAGGGCAGAAAATCGCGGAATAATAATAAACAGACGGCTGATACCCCAGAAATCACTTATTATGTAATATTATCCTATAACTAATTTTGCCATTTTCATCTCAATACCCTTCTATATATAAATCGACGGCATAGAACGGGATACCTTTGAAAGTCATCATACATATTGCATATGTTCATCCCGCTAACGAGTCTCATCATGCGCTTTCGAAAGAGAAAGATATAATATTGAATGGATGTTATTATTATTATCTTCATATATATTGCGAATAATTCATGTGCAATCCATGATAATCATGTCACTGCTAGTAAAGCCATTTTCGGTGCATACACAGGCAGAAACTTAACAACGTTGTTCGGGAGTTCACGTAATCTTACAAAATCTTTCATGACCAAACACGGTACAGGCGGACCGGAAAAACTTAGGAAAAATGTTCCCAATCGCCTCGCCCACTCATCCTTCTCGGCTATACAAGACAATCGAGTCAACAACGAGATAGAGGTAGTCACCCTCTGTCGTGAAGCACCCATGGTGCCAAGATCCAGTCAGTTGACTGTGATCGTCACGACCTCACCCACCCCGTCGATCCCCTCGACGGAACTGATCTCCTCCGTCTTGCAGTCTTTCCACCGCCACTGCACGGACTTAATCAGCGCCCGGGTCATTGTGGTCTTCGACACCTTTGACCGCGTCGGAACTCGCTCCCGCCTGAAAAAGGGGCAAGCCACCCCCGAAGTAGCTGCGAATTACGGTGTCTACAAACAAAATGTCAAGGAGCTGATTCTACGCGAATATGCATCTTCCGATGCCAGCCCTGACCACGTGATGCAAGAATGGCAGGACCAGGCCGAATTCGGTCTCGACCACCTCAACAACGTGGTCGATCTGTCCATCACCCAGACTGACGACAAGCAAGTGACCTTCATCGAGCCCGCAGCGCGTCTAGGGTTCGGGCTGGCCGTGCGCTCGGCCCTGCGGGTCTGTGAGACCCCGTACGTCTGGGTCCAGCAACATGACTGGGCGCTCGTCGCCGATATTCCATTAGCACCGTTACTGGAGATTATGGGGTGTTCGGACGCAGACCAAGTTGCGCCGGTCAAATATGTATCGTTCCCCTCGGTGCGCATGCTCTCCTATGCTACGCAGCCTTGTGTGCTGGATTTCCCGGCCTTGCGGGCTTTGACTCGCGATCTCACGCTCGACTTTGTCCCGCTATCGCAGCCGGAGATGACCGTGCCGTTGACGCCGCTGTATTTCTGGTTTGATAAACCGCATATTGCGTCGACGGAACATTACCTCTCGCGGGTGTTCCCGAATCGGCTGACGATGCGGCGGGGGGAGTTTATTGAGGATAAGGTTGGTCAGCAAGCGCGACAGCAGATGAAGGATGGTCAGTGGCATAAATGGGCATGTTGGCTGTACTATCCGGACGAGGGGAAGCAGCTCTGTCTGGGGCATTTACAGGGTCGGACTTGGAACGGGGCAGAGGGTGAATTATTGACGAAATATGGATATTCGGAAGTCGATACAAAATCAATATAAGTCTAGATATCCCAAATCACCTTTTGGTTTTCTTTTTGGTTTCCTTTTTAGTTTCCTCAAGAAAAACATTAATCATGCATGAATTGAAGAGAATGTAGGTACGGAGTATGAGGGGAAAATAAGTCCCTGCACAATGGGCGTTGTACCACTACCCCTGCATGCAACGGACCTGTTATATTGTTGCCTTTTGGGCCAGCTTCTGCCTGACAAATTAGGCAGCGAACACCTCTTCCTGGCTGATCTCTGACCGTTTTGAATAAAAATCAGTGTGAGAGGTCAAACTCGGTTATTCCAGTCATTAATAATATTATGTAAATATTTACGTATGTGGCGGAGCTCCAAACCGGATGAATCACGGGGTAGACTAAAAATCTGAAATCCGGGACAAATTAAGGGACCCAGAAGGGGCCATGCCAATAAGTTGACCAGTCCAGGGCGGCATGTCGGGTACGGCTCGGCTGTGGAAACCTTTTCCCCTTTCAAAAATTTCACTCATAGGGCTGCCAAAATGCCTACGTATGCAAGGAGGCGCAGACAAGAAACAAGTAAGTTGTATGTAACCATGAGTTGTTCTGGTCAGCCACCCAACGACATGGCACCAGGTCACCTGCTGCTGCAGTACTTTTCGTTCTTCGTATGAAAACCGGGATCAATATGAATAAAACCCAATCACGATGGAACAAGCGAGACAGGGATTGCCGATCACCAATCGGGCTCCCGACGCCAAGCCAGAAAGAGCGAGTGGAGCATTAGACAGGAACCAACCAGCGTTGAGCCGGTCAAGTTCAGGATTGAGTTCGTTGTCAGCCCATGGTCGGCTTTCTTTGTATTGTAATAATAATATAAAGCTCTTTTTGACTTTCCCAGCCCGTCTCACCTTGATTCTTTCACCTCCTATCTCTCTCCCTCCTGTCAAAAGCTACCTAGTTTTCTCTCCTTCGTTTTCATCTCGAGTCTACACCTTACTACTAGTATATCTAGTATACACTCGCTCAAATCAAGACTCATAAACAACAACAACACAACAAAACCCCCATTCTTCAAAATGTCTGCCACTACCACTTCCGTCGCTGCCAGCGCCACCGCCTGCAACACCGTGACCTACTGGCAGCTCCCCGTCGACGATGCCGCCTGTGCACTCCCCAAGACCGGCAATTACTCCGATATCATGGACAAGTGCTGCTCCCCCGCCAAGGTGACCGATTTCGACAACGGCTGCGGCCTCTACTGTCTTGCCCAGGGCCAGAGCATCGGTGATCTCAAGGACTGCCTGCGTAAGAACGGTGCCCAGGACGGCCGCGAATTCTACTGCAAGGGCAAGGATAACGCCACCGCCACTGCCTCCGCACCGTCCTCCACCAAGACCGGCGACAAGTCCGGTACTTCCACCGGCAGCGGTGCCTCCTCCACCTCCTCCGACAGCGCCGCCTATGCCATCCAGCCTGCCGTCTCCAAGGGCGGTCTCGGACTCTTGGCCATGGTCTTCTGCTCCGCTCTTATGGGTGTTGTTGCCTAGATATTTCCTTCCTACGGGAGGTTATTGGTTTCGGGAATGATTGGGAGGGGTTTGTCTATACACTTTTGTTTTCTGCGGTGATTCGTCTTGCGATGCATCGGGCAGGACATATTATTTAATACCCTTATGATATGACCTGCTGTATTATATTTTCATTTTTTTTTTTTTTTGTCTCATGGTTTGGATGTCGGTCGGTATTGAGCTAGGCTATTCTTAATTTTAATGACTGAAAATTTCGATCCTTTTATATGAAACTTCCTGAAACTTGATGGACTCCGTAGATATGGAAACTTGAACCCGAGGAACAGTACATTTTCCAGATAAGGCATGATTGACGGTTCACTCGAGTCATGGTCCGCTTTTAGGCTTGCCGAGTGCCGGATCCTCGGTACCGTTATTTTGTCATTGGAATGTAAGATCTTTGGTTCTATGAAAGAGATCAACGAAAGCTTAAAGCTGGATCCCCATGGGAATATGGATGTGCACTAATGGTTCTTTCATTGTCGAATTCAAAAGTAGTATAGGTTGCTAGTCTACAAAGAATGAGGCTCTTCAATAGCTCACTATCTGGTAAGGTCATACAAACCCAAACAATAGCTTGTCACTATAAAGTATGCAAAAGACCCTCGGAGTTTTCTTCCTTGTTTATCTCTCCATCAAAGCCCAACCCTCAGCCCACCTTCAATTTCCCATGACATAATGGGTTTCGACTCAGATTATCTCCCACCATGGGGCTTTCTCCCTGTCGAGTAATACTTGATCGTACGTTTTGCTAAGAACAATCCATCCCTTCCCAATCCACTGTAGCAGACACGCTCCTTCCCCATCGGGGTCCTTCCACATATGTGTTGAAGGCAAACCCTTTTTATTGAGCACAGAGAGCTAGATTAGAAGAATAGAACTATCTCTGACCTTTTTTCTTTTGGCTCTTCCTTTAGTCGTAGCATCCACCCGTTGACTTAAATTGTTCCTCTTACATCAAGAGACACTGGGATCTTGCAGCAGTCGAGACACCAGACCAGCAGCGCCTTCAACTTATCTATCAATTTCTTGAACTGGATGAAATCCTCCGTGACTGGGTTCCTCTTGACCAGTTTGCATCAATATCGCGCACACCTACAGTAGAGGAAATCAATATAATCCTTCGTGCTTGGCGGTCGGATGGCCTACGTCGGAGGGCATGGCGAATATTACACTCAGACAAGGGTGCACCGTTCTTTCTACGAACCTATTATAATCCTCTGGACGACTCGGACGCAAGGGTGAAACAATGGGTAAACGCGTCGGAGGAGTTTGCCGACCAAGCATGGTGGGCCTTATTAGATGATCGGAACTCATTCAACTTTGGCTCTGACTGGCGGCGTATATACGAAATTCTGCCCGAAGTGGCCGGTCCAGTAGAGATCGACGATTACAAACGATATGCCTCGCCCGATCTTGTCAACACGGCTCGAGAACAGTTCAAAGCTTATCTTGCAAAGGAGATGAAAGACAACCCTGATCAGTGGAAGGCGAATCGGGATCACTTTATTGAGGTAGTTGCTGCAGATCTTCTCCGCACAGTGGCGGCTATGTACATGCTTATTGCAGACCAGGAGGCATTTGATACCGGCCTATTACGGCTGGTCTACCTGGATGGTACTATAGGAGATAGATACCGTGTTACAGGTGATCTAGGAAAAGATATATATTGCCTCACTGAGGCTGATCTGGTGGATCCATGATCCCTCTTTTCATGGCTTTTGTAGGGGTTCTTGTGAGTGAAAACATCGCGTTATTCTACTTTTCGGAGTATGGCGCAAACCTGGCTGGGAGTTTCTATAAGTCAATGCAACACTAAGCAATGCCTTGAGTGCATCCACTAAAGGAGCAATATTGGTCATTTAACTCGTGATTTCGCTTAACATTAAGACTAATAGGAAACAGAGTCCTTGAATTGACCGTTCTTTTAAGTTTTGATGGTGGTTGGCTGAAAACGCGCGACGCGAAAAACGCGTTAGGGGTTCAGATGAGGACGTCTTCGGACTAGACCGTGGCTGTCGAGCTCGGTGGCTTCTCGTAGAAAGGGACTGAGATCTGGTGCCATACTCACCAAAGCACTGGCATACATCTGCCAGGTTACACATCCCAAGCATATTCAATCTCACAGACAAATAGACTTCGAGGAGCATATTATTGACCCTAATCCCGTTCTAAAAACTCTCACTAGAGGGATGCTAATGCTCTGTCATAGTATCAGTTGGTCTGTGCTTAATAGAGCTAAGTTGAAAAGAATAAGGATCTGCTACCGAGCAGGATTCTGCAAGCACTTTCTGCAGTTTAACAAGGATCCCGGTCTTTCGAAAGTAAACCAGCAAACAATAGTATATGAAAGATAAGAATAACTGATGCTCTATTGCCTTCAACGGCTGATATCCAACGTAAGGATGCTGGTTACGACTGCATTTTACTAGTTGCCCGAAGCCGTTCCCGAATATTGGAAGGGTATTAGATAGACTTCCACTCGTGCTTGACCGAGAATCCTTTTTCTTCTCAGCTTGGACGGGTACAGTTAGAAGACATATGTGGGTCACATTACAAATTTACATCTGGGATTTTTCATAGAAGAGAATGACAAAGTAGGACATATATAGAAATTATAGAGAGTGCGTATAGGACGATCTGCGCTATTTAGAGTAAAATTCCTATACCGTATATCTATTTCTTCGAGGCCGACCTAAACTATAACATTAGGGTATAATTTATGTTTACGGACTGTCTTAGAAAGTATCCGCAATAGATTGGCTAGACTTTATAAAAGCCGACGAGGTATGAACATCAATCATTCCAGGTTTGCCTGCTGTATTAAGATAGTGTTGCAGAGGGTCCCTAAATATTTTCGCCATGATATAGAAACAAGATGTGCATTACAACGAGAATTATGACGGAACAGTAAGGCATTGAATGTTAGATAATATACTGTTTATCTCCGTTGGGCAGCTGAGCAGGCAGAGTATTGTATCATTGCTCAACTGTAGCGCTTAGGGTATTGAATTGATACAGATATTTAACCACCACAGTGGAGGTCCGAAAGCGGAGGAGGGTAGTAAACTGATTTAATGCTTGTGGCAGATGCGATGGCTAGTGGCCTTCGTGCTCGTCGGGATTACAGTTACGGGATTGAGTGTCTGGGGGTCAACTGATTAGAGTCTAGGGATTATATGGTTGAGTTCTAAGAGGATTAGAGTGAATTTATCAAAGTCTTTTTTCTAGTTCTAACCCCTTTGGAGCTTCCCTTATATAATCAAACTTAGTTTAAACTAAATATCTATTCAACCTATATACAATTTCTTATTTATATAGTAGAATTTTCTCTAATCCCCTGGGAGCTGCCTTTTCCACCCCACCCTGGCCCCCAGACACTAGTTCCTGACCCCTTCCCGGAGCTGTAAGCCCGTGCTCGTCCTGCATGTCGCTCGGGTTCGATTGCTTATACGAACCCAGTGAATCTGCGACCAATGTCATTGTACGCAAGGGCTGTGTGCCTGACCTGGAACAGCGCATGATGTCGGTTGAACACAAGTTGCAGCGGCTCAATGATGTGTTCAGGGGTCATCTCTTGCCGTGCCCAAACAATTACTCATGTCACTCCACGAGCGGCACTCCTGGGCCGGGAGCAGCGACGCGTGCGAGAGAGACACATGCTTAATCTCTCCGGCGCCCCACGTTCCACGTATCCTCACCCCGCACACTCTCGGTAAGAAAACCCTCATGCCTTTCTACTCACCGGTCGCACTGCTCACGGAATCTCCGGTCCGGCCACAGAAGAACTTGCGTTATAACAACTCTAAGTATCCCTCCCCCCGGAACGTTCTGCAGGAGCTCCGTATGATCCAAGTGTCATCCGTTACTGGCCAGACTACTCCCGTCATGTCGTCGTCCAACCCTGCGCCCAACGTGCTTACGCAGATTCCCTTGGACGAGGACGCCCGTCCCGGCTACAGTGATGCCGAGTTGCGCGACTACTTTGAGTGCATCAAGCTCCCACAAAAGTATCTGAACTCGATTGTGCTGAAAGACAGGACCCAGGCCGGAACCAAAGAACATGGGCTGCCCTTGTTACGGGCCCTGACACGGCACCACACATGCAATGTCCCTTTCGATAATCTCGTATTACACTATTCCACACACAAGATCGTCACGCTTGACCTGGCGGAGCTCTACACGAAGATAGTTCGCCGGCGGCTCGGCGGGCGATGTATGGAAAACAACAGCTTTTTTGGGACCGTCCTTCGCTCGCTCGGCTATGAAGTGCGCAACTGTGGAGGCCGCGTAGCGCGGGCAATGAGTCCCTACCCAGACGTCCGACGCAATCAGAGCATGACCTATGACGGGTGGAACCACATGCTCAATCTTGTGCGACTAGACGACGAGTGGTACGTCGTGGACGTGGGGATGGGCTCCATGGGCCCCAACCTCCCATTTCCGCTGCGTGACGGATTTGAGACGACCAGCGTCCCTCCACGTTTGATTCGCCTGCAGTTACGGTCGATACCCGAGTCGTACGCGACCAAATCCGCTAACGGGACAGGGTCCCCGAAGATGTGGTGCTTCGACATCTGCTATAACCCAGTTGATGACGCCACAAAAGAGTGGCTGCCGGTCTATTGCTTCACGGAGACAGAGTTCCTGCCCCAGGATTACGAAGTCATGTCCTGGTTCACGTCGACAAACCCGAGATCGTTCTTCACCAGATACGTCACCTGCACGAAAATGCTCATGGATGAGGACAAGGAGATGATTGTGGGCAATGTTACCTTATTCAAGGACACCGTGAGAAAAACCATTGGCACCAATCGCATGGTAATCAAAGAGTGTAAGACGGAAGATGAGCGTTTGCAGGCGCTGGCTGAAATCTTCAACGTGCATCTGACAGACGAGGAGAAGAGGGGGATTCCACACGATCGGATATTAGCATAAACGCTAAGATGAGATGAACCAAGTGACATGATCATGATGTCAGCCATCCTATCCCATTGCAATTTACACAATTTGGCCGTTCGTCTAGACATGTCTCTCTTCTTGTATGCATGCATGCACCATGCTCCAGCTCGGACAGTTTATTAACGCCCGGGTAGCAGAGCTGAGAAGACAACTATGATAAGGCTATGAATGCATTCGCCTTTTTCTTTTCTTTTTTTTCTTTTCCTTCCTTTTCCTACTTTATTTATGGTCACTTGAAGCCATTCTATGTTCCGGTTCCAGATTTACAGTACTCCATTCAGCACTACCTGCGTATGTTAGTAGTGACCGCGGCGGTAAGAAGACTGTTTCATATCCAGTCGACGGGTGGCCATGGCGAAATGTATCCTTGCTCCCACAGCATTCACAGCTGAGGTCCTAGAATAAAATGTCTCAGGGTGACTTGCCACCCAAGTAGAAGCACATGTTTCCCCTATGAGTATTCGTGCACCGTAGCATCTTTGTCCTTGTTCATTCTTTATCCCTAACGCAGAGGCCAGATAACTCTAGAGTACCTGGCCTCCTTCTTCCCCCACTACTTAAGTCGGCCCTAATGATTGACCAATGCAATGGTTGAGCAACCCGGGTGTCACGAGCTGTACCGCAGTATATTTTTGTTCCTCCCTGTTGTCGCCGGTTGGAGATCAAAGATAAAATGTATGATAGGACCTGGCTCCCGAATCAGCAACTTGTCATCTCCGGGCAAGTTTTGTCTCAGGAAGGCTTCCTATAACCAGAAAATCATCTCTTAATAAACTCCAAAAGCTGAAGGACACTTCCTTTATAAGGGTGACTGTTACCTGTCATGGGCTGACTCTATGGCTTTGTAAAAGAAAGTTTTGACAAAGTATTTGACCTGTACCAAGCGTCACGCATATCAATTTAATATCCACCATACTAGCTGCAAAACATTCGATCCGCATATTATGGCATTGGCGGCATATCCTTGACTCTACCGGCCTATGACCTGCAGTCTTTCTTCGAGAAAGGTGACTTTATCTTTCTTAGCTGATCGCCAGTCTTCGGAAGCGCTATGACTTATGGCAATGCTCATCCCAATTTAGGAACTTCAGCTGCGTACCCACAAACCTCCACAGAGCCAACCAACGTCCTAGGGTGTGATCTGCTGTGGGGCATGCGAATTCAGGCAGTTCAAGACTATTGATAGATCGTCACTGCAAGTTTGGAGTTCTGTGTCGGCCAAGACCCAGTCTATCTATCGATCCCTGCCGATCTCCTGACTATGGACCTGATCCATCCAGGACGGGGTCTGTGGAGGACAGAGATCGCACATCTGAGTCTCCAGGTTTAGCCACGCGCGGGGAGCTTTATGCGAATTGGCCCGAATCACCCAGCGTGCCTTCACAATAGTCGTCTCCAAGGGATACTAATATGTCCTACATTATACATAACCCTAGCGATGGACAGACACATGTACATGGTGCTGGGGACAAGTATTCAAGCAGTTGTGTGGGGATCCTTGAAGAAACCAAGATCTGTCTAAAGTGAATGCGAATCGTGGTGTGGGATGGGTGGATATGACCTCCATGCTCGTGGAAACTCTGACCGGTAGCTAATAACTACCCAATGACAAGATAGTTTAGATTGCTATTCCTCATCTTACCTCGCTATACGTACTCGATGAATCGAAGATGGCTGATGATCCCTTATTTATTTAATTTTATTCCTCAGGCTGCATGTAGCCCCCAAGTACTCCACATGCGTGTCAATTAAAATCCCCGAAACTTAAGAGGATCCAGATGAGTCGGCCATCGAACCTGATGACCATTTCGACACCTACTCAGTGTGAGTATTGAAGTTTATTCTAATAGATAATTCTAGTGCTTCCCTAGCTGCTTAAGAAACTTTTAAAAACAATAGCCTAGATTGTGCTAAGGTTAATTCAGGGAAAAGGAGATACTCTTGCTTGCTTGACTGGGCTTTCTGCCTGCTTCTCTTCATCCCCTGTTCTATCACTAATTCGTTGCTTTGCATCTCCAGCAGTCAGAGGGCCTGAAGTAGTGATCCTCCTGCGTGATTTACGCATATTTTGAGACCGCCGATGCGCTAGAAGATGACCAGTCGCATGGTCAAGTTGCTCAGCTGCAGTTTTATAATGACCAAGGATATGAGATAGGCGATGATGAAACTTAGGGATAATTTCCTCATATTCGACAAGCTGCTCAGCAATGGTCTTCGTACGGCCAATCAGGATTAGTGGCCGGGATACAAAGGCCAGGGACTAGAAGCGTCAGACATAGATCTAGTGACCACAATCATTGGACAGCAGCAACTAGGCTTGCGGCCAGGCTGGCTCTCAATCTGTGGCTCTCAAACCGCCCCAGCCTTCGTTCCGCCTGTGTTATTGAACCCATGATTGCCATCCTCCGTGGACTTTTGGCCCGTTGATGGACCATGTTAGGTTGAGGCCATGAGAGGTCTGCGGTGGAAGGTGTACTCGTCAGTCACGAGAGGGCGGGAGCCATAGAAGGACCGCAACTGCCAAAGGGTCGCCGTCAAGGAAGGACTGTGGTCATGAACGGTCTGTACTAGTAGTCACCAAAAGACTGCAGTCCTTGTGTGAGAACAGTCATACTCCTCCCCGCCTTGAACTATTCGGGCCCAGGATTGATGAATAACGGCCTATACTGCGATGTGATAACAGTCAACCAAGAAAGAAAAAGAAGAGAAGTTAAAGCTAAAGAGGAAGAGTTAGTCTATACATTCTCCTCTGTAGACAAATAGAATATATCCTGTGGGGTGGAATTCCGCTGAAATAGACGAAGCTTAGCCAAATAAGGTAAATAATAGTGATTCTCTGGTTTTTTCTATAATCAACAATATTACCTATTCCTGAAACTCATAGAAAGGGAAGAAACAGTATACTGTATAGAGAGTATAGAGTGAAGATAAAATTATAAGAAGCAGCGAATGGTTCCTGTAAAGGACAGAAAGGATAGGAATATTATAATATACCCTATCTAATTCTCCATAAAAAGAAATAGATACAGGAATAAGATCGGACTTTATGAATACTAGGTAAGCAGCTTAGAAAGTAGACTCTTGATCCTGGTGTATCTATAAGTGTTGTATAATATATCTATACCAAATACGCGATGGTCGAGTATTATTACTCGTAATTACAATGGAATAGGTACCCACCAATCTATTTTGGGAGGTTAGTAATTAAAGTGGGTGACCAGCAGCGAATCCTTCCTTGTTGACCCCGCTTGAACTGATCTGAATCTCACCCGGATTAGAGAGATCTCGGACCCATGTGCCACGAGTGAAGCACATGTACGTTGAGAAATAGTAGTCTCGAGAAAGAATGAGTGCCGTACAGGGCATACAGAATATCTCGGTGAGTTGCCTAGTAGGCTTGCCTTGATGCCGAACTTAAACCAACCCCTCACGTGAAACTATACATAGTGCGGTCGCTGCCAATCCAAGAAGGTAATCCGATATAATCCCAGCCATTCCAGCTGGACGGATTAGCCAGAATAACAATCTGCTAGGTTCGCTGCAATCGAGTCGCTCCGCGATGTGGCAATTGTGAAGTCGCGGGAACTGAGTGTGTCTACTCGCCTCGAAAGCGCCGAGCCAAGAAACAAGCGTATTGATGATCCACATAACCTACAAGGCGACTCGACTCCACCAGGCAACTGACAAGATATCGCAGAAGTGAACCACTCGATAAAAGTCTGCTTTTGGAGGTTCTCGACCGCCTCAAACGCCTGGAAGAACAAGTTGGTCTGGAAGATGCTCCAGAAACCGACGATAATGGAGACGACTCCATGTCGATTTCTTCCATCGGTGCAGAGGCCGCACAGGCAATATCCCTAGACGAAGATCCGGCTCAAGTAGTTCCATCCGCGATTCGACATATTGTCAATGGGATCAAAGATGAAGGCAGTCGATCTATGCTTCTCTCCAACGTCTTTTGTCACCTGCGACACGTGGGCTCATACTTTTTCGAAAATAATCGATGTATTAAGACAATCACCTCTGCTGTATCGGAGATTGAACCTATACACAGTACGGAGAGCATTGAGCCGCTGGGAGACGCGATCGTCCCAAAAGACCTGGCAAAGAAAATAATTGAAAGCAAGTGTCTGCCCCCCCCTTCACAGCTCTTGATGATCTAATCTCTTTTCCAGAACACTATGCCTCGCACCAATTTCCAGGCTTCGAATTCCCTCTCGAGAAATCTTTCTTATCTTCAATCCCCGACTTAATCGAGATCCCTCACGTCCAACTAGACTGTACATCTCAGATTATCTATTACTCTGTTCTCCTTCGGGGCATTGTTCTGGAGCTTGAAGCCCATCCCAGAAGGGGCAACATTTTGCGGTATCTTTATTTAAAGTGCGTTGCATTAAGTGACGAATGGATGAAGAATGTCCAAGATACCCCCGTCGACTTCTTGGCTGCATCCCTCATGGCAAGCGCATCACATACACTAGATCTCCACCTCACACAGCTAACAAACCAATAGACGTCAACAGCCCTCGAAGGCTGTAATACAGATCTAGCCTGGAAGGCGTTCAGTCACACATGCAGGATATCAAAGGCACTAGGCTATTTTTCCGTCGACGAAACACCAAGTGAAGGGGACAACCAAATCTCTTCACCAGCTGGCACACCACTACACGAAGCTGAAATAGACCGGAACCGGAAACGCTTCGGCTTCTGGCACATCCTTCGAACGGACTGTCTTTTCCGAAAGTCATTCGGCAAACCGACTCTCATCCCCGCAGGATCGTGGAAGGTGCATTTTCCCGATCCAACGATCAATGGCGTGGACGATGAATCGTCGCGCTTTATACAGATTCATTTTCTGATATCTATGCGGCTCGGTCTTATTGTTAGGAAGTATCTCGATTGGATTACTGGTGGTCCGGATCCGGATCCGGTTTCGCATGATGCTATTATTGATAATTATATCGATGAGGTGCAGTCTATTTTGTCGGATTGGGATACAGTGCGTTATACCCTACCTTACCAACAAGATAGAAGCTGGAATGCTGTGCTAATAGGAACTACAGGCGAGCCTTCTTCGAACGGCGACAAATCATATCGATGTCTGGCTCTGCATCGACGTGCTGATCGGTAGCTATGAGATACTTATTGTGCTGTATCTGTCGAAGAAATGTGACTCTGGTCATGCCTTACCATGTCAAGCCGTTGATCTGGCCAGGAAGTCTCTGAAGACCTTCCAATCGCTCCTGGGGTCCACATCGCATGCGTTCTGGGGAATCAGGTATAGAAAGCATCACGTCCTATCCATGTCCTTGGTGTGCACATTATTAACCGTACATATAGTCCTATCTCAATGTACCAATTACTCCCTTTTTTTGTCCTTTGTTTAGACTTCATAGGGAATCCAGACCATGAAAACCTCGATGAAGATCTCGTGTCTGTGAGCTGGGTAGGCGACTATGTCGAAATGGTCGCCGAGGGACGGGTTGAGCTAAACCCGGTCATTATTATCATAAACGCCATGGTGACTGCTTGTAAACAGGCAAAAATGGACCGTCTTGCCCGGTCAGTTACTACTGGTGAATAGGCAGACCATCGATGTGTGCACAACTTTCAGGACATCTACTTGAGTTTGAAATAGGACATTAATAGCCACTGAGAGATATCATCTGCGCACATTGTAAGAAAGCACATTTACTTCGATAAAGCTAGCCTGCACTACTGGAAGCCGGTTGACCGTGTTTGGTCCTAAGTGTATACAAAGTTTATAATATATATGTGGGATCTTTGATCAGGGATTCAACCTGTAAACCATATACACAAGCAACAACCATGATCAGTGACTGCTGCTCTTCGTCCTGGAGACAGTCGCTCGTTCTGGGAGGATCCGGGCTTTGTGTCCGCGGAAGTATCGTAGACCTACAGTATTTAACGGTAGGACTCCCGGGAATACCGCCAACGTATGGAGCAGTGAGAGTTTACATACAGAATTCAAAGATTGAGCTCAGACTGCTATCGAGACCTGGTCCACAAAGCACTGGTTCGCTCACAGCCTTGGGAGGCTCTTAACACAATAGCATCTGCGTTGCTGGTCGCTTATCTGACGCTGAGCCTTCTGGTATTTGCAACAATCTCATGTATGTCTCAACGTAATGCTAACACAGACTCGTAGGAGTAACTGAATGATTGTCACGCATAATCCTCTCTGTAGCGCAATGCTGCAAATGGGTCAGTGACACTGAAGACATTAGACTAACAGATATTCAGCTGGCAGAAAAGCACGGGCTGTTCGCTGCGTGCGACGCAGATAATCTGAACTCTCAGCTCCAGATGAAGACTGCTGGTCGGGCTGATCAGGACCGCTCCTGGAAAGCCTAGGCTTGACCAGAGTCGGTCAAATTGTCGTTTCCCTCACTTATTCATATTAGTGCCTGCCGAACTGACGTGCACTGCTAGGGTGCTTAACTACCTAATTTGGCTTGACATGGCATACACTCGCGTGGTGGCCAGCACTGCATTGGTGGGCATGGGAAAGCTCGACCTCTATCTGCCATGCGTGGAATCTCTCTCGAGTCGCCAACCCCAACGCGGTTTTTCCAGCTTGCTGACCGGGGCGCGTCACGGAGAGTGCCTCCTATGCAACTACACAGTTTCTGCACCTCTCGCGCGGACGTACATGACTCGATATCCATGGAAACCCTTTTTAGTACCCTCTTCGTGCAGATAATTGCTCTTCTCCACAAATCTCCAGTTGGAACCCCTTTGATTATCGAGGGACTCCAGGGCTTTCTCTAATACCTCTGACAGGAAATATGGAAGCAAAACATCATTCCCGGTAATGTGGTCCCGACGCTGTTAACCGTGCCCACCAAATATGTCAAAATATTTCATGGCAAAATGTAATCAACGCATTGGCATGTATTAATGTTTGCGTCGAGCTTACAGTAGATCTAAGGAGCTCCTGGTTATGACATTCTACCATTGTTCAACTATCACACGTTAGCAAGTCAACGGCCTCGCAGACTGGGACATTATCAGCCAGCTATTATTGTTATTATTATCGAAGAAAAGGTAAAAAGATCCCTTTTCCAAAATTAAGATTCTTGGCTTTGTGAAGGGCATATTCTATACTCGTGCAATCCAAACGGGCTTCTATCGGTCCAAGCACTACTTGGGCCAATCCATGTACCATGGCTATTGGTCTATATTGGAGGAAATTACAAGTTAGCGGAACCAAGGTGCGGTAGTAGTGCAATCAGAGATATACTCCAGTGGTTTTGCTTCTTACAAACCCCGCAATATGACCAAGGTCTTTCAATGGGCGCCTATGATGCTAATCAATCATGTCAGCTTTCAGACGGTTAGAAGTGCAGAGTCCCAGCCACAACACATCAGCCAGCCTCGTTGCATGATCAGGGCGCTATTCAATTAAGCCAATCGCTAGCCCAGCCCTGTCACGGCACTTTTTGCTCAGGTGATGGGGGAGCCTCCTACTACCTCTTAGGCACCTTTATCCGCCCCGGCTTTATCGAAACTAATTCGCCCAACCCACACCTCAATTCCCGCTGCCATACTATCGTCTGCGGTTCCATCTGCGTCCGCAACATGTGGAGATAGTTTCAGTCCAAAGCCTGGGTGACCAGCCGCACCGTCCAACATGATACTGGTTGGTGGGCCGTCTTCCAGCTTCACGATAGTGTCTATTTGGGCGGCCACGTAGCCGTCCTGACTCCGATGCCTGGGTGTATTACCTCACCGGCTGGTACCCCGCCTGGACTTAGTACTGCTACCACTGTCAATGAGTCCCGTTTCGGAGGATTGTTGCCGGCGAGGGGGTGCTCACGTCGGCACCCAGAGGTTGTGAAGAATGGCAATATCAAGCCGCTCCATTTCACCCGCAGAGTTACAGACTTGTATATTTGGTTCAATATCAGAACCCAACCAATGGCGAGGCCTATTTACTCTTTGCCAATTGCACATTTGTATTGCGTGATACAAGTAAAGTTTTACGGGATGTCTAGATCCTGTAACCGATATCCACAACCCTTGATAATCGACAATATGGATGTCGTGAGTTTGATAAAATATGGATGGAAGAGCAACTATACCCGTAATGGGACAAGGTTTTGTAAGCCTCAGAGCCTAATCAGTAGCATCTGACTACAATGGGGTCTATGACACTGACATACATTTAGGACCATGGGTATTGTGATCCAAAAGCTTTGCATGTAAAGGGATACATATAGCAACATACGTCAGTGGAAACCTCTAGACCTCCTGCCCAAGTAAATTGATTCCTATATCTTCTTGGAAAGATTTCCAGGCAGGAAGCATTCGCAAAAGCCCGGTCCATGAGTTATGAATAAACGGAACTCACTACTGCTGTTACTACTCATACCTGTCATTCTCTTTTTGATTAAACCTCTTCCATTGCTTGTACTACTGTCTATCCTAGGGCTGCTACTGGTATACTCACATTCAAATATGCCTCCCAGCAGAACAGAGTCTACTTCTTGCGAATGGATTTCAGGCCTCGAGCCCAGTGTCCCGATTATGAACAGCCCCGAGACTGATTATGCACTTCTTCGGAGATTCGACACCATCTTTCTGATCGATGATAGCACCAGCATGAGAGGTCAAAACTGGCACGAGACTCTTGGTGCTCTGGTTAATATCTCACCAATATGCACCAAACACGATCCAGACGGCATTGATATATATTTTCTAAAACACCGTAACCCGAATGATACTCAAGGAGCCTTTAGAATGGTCACCACCCCTCAAAGTGTCGAAAATATCTTCAGACCTGTCTATCCACATGGAGATACGCCAATCGGGGCTAGACTGAAGGAAATCCTAGGGCCCTATATGGAAGATCTTGCTGAGTCGCTGCGGCATAGAAGAACAGATACAAACTCAACAGTTCGACCTATCAATATCATTGTTATTACTGATGGGAAGCCAACTGATGAGTTAGAAAACGATCTTGTTGCTACTATTGCAGCCACGGCAAAGCAACTAGATAATTGGGGTGCGGTCAAGTGGCAGGTTGGAATCCAGTTCTTCCAGGTCGGCGATGACAAAGACGTGACCAAGTACTTGAAGTATCTAGATGATAACCTTGCTGGAGATTACGGAGTCAGAGATATTATTGACACGGTGACCTGGGATAAAGATCCTGGTGAACTTTCTGCCAACACTATCCTAAAGGTGGTACTGGGAGCTGTTGACCGAAGGTACGACCGTCAGTGAGTAAGAACAAGCTTCTAAGCCTGACAGATTGGCATGAAGTAATTTGATTGAAGGGTTTGCAAAGCCTCGGAGCTGCGGGGCCAAGAATGACAATATTGATGGCGTTTTATCTTGGAAACTCTTTACGCACGTGTTGGCATATCAAAAGTACAATGGGCGAGAAGCTAACAGGACCGTACTATGTATCTCATTGATTTATTGTTTGCTGGGCTAAAATGAAACATATTCACTTATGATGTGGCTTGCCATTTCAAGGTTACTTGTGATTTACTAAAAAGTTCACTAGCCGATCATACCCACTAGATCTGGCTAAAACATTTTATCGGGTCCGCACAGCAAATGGGGTTACTGCAGATAACCTCATGTCTACAATACTAAACACCCTCTCTATTTTGCAGTTGTATGTTGAATTAGAGGGAACAAAAGTACATGATCGAATTTGAACATTAACTGGTATGGTGTGATATTAATTTGAGATACCTCAGACATGTCTAGACCTAGGTGTATTCCTCTCCTAGTGGTATATGATCTTTCCTTTTAAGTTTCTATCTATTATGTGGATCTGGCTGGTTGTCATACGACGTGCCAAGGAAGTGGAAAATGCCGCAAGCAGATAGAGTTGGTCCGAGTTAAATAACACCCCATAAACCAAGAATGGTTGAATACATGGATCCCACCCCATCAAAGATACATATATACAAATTCTCTATTTACGATTGCCTGGTGATGTGCTTGTGTTCTTGGCGATTCCGCCAGCTTGCCTATTGTCAATATGCGGCTCTTGGCAGTTCTCTTATGACACATTTACACGGCAGTCACACCACTTGGCCATTCATTCATTAGATGTGAAATTGGATGTAACCTGATTAGGCCTTCACAATATGACCTAATGAGGCTGGGTGTCAGTCCCTGTCACGGATTCCATAGTAAAACAGCCTGGTGACCTGCAACTCACGTCATGTTCGGAACACCGTCGTGGATACACTACGGAATATCCTCTCCATTAGATGTTGGGGGGTATACTATATCCCCAAATTAAGGTTGATATATATTTAAACTGCGGTAACATTCTATAAGGCTTGAGATGGTGAGGGCTCTAAAAGTTGGTGACTTGTTAGCAGATATATATGCCTTTGTTTCCGCGGCAGAAAATAAGAGGGAGGGGGTTTGAACTAATAATTTGCTAAGTGAGGGAAAAATCAACTAAGAGAGTGGGCTTTTCATTCCTTGGGTGCGCTGGAGGGAGATTTATAGATCACTGGTTAACGAATATATAATGGTGGTCACACATAAAGAATGATTAGTTAATAAAAGAAGAGCAGCGAATCACGGAGAGACCGCGGGATACGAATAGAGCCAAGGGAGAGAGACAAAGGCCCTTGTTTCTTGTATATCTTGAATATCGTGCTATCAATATATGGCGACAAAGAGCAACACAGTGAGCTGCGCTGGGCGTATAGTCGTATCGAACTGGTAATGTTTATACTTACTTAGCCTCAGTATATATTAGCTGCCTTTGTGCCTTAGTTATGATTATAAGAATATAAGTATTATAGAAGACTATATAAATACTCAAAATAATGCGAAATATTACGTTACTAGTAATATCTTTCTCCATGTAAAGTAACAGTGCACTGATGCTAAAGGTGTGCGCAACACCACCACTCAAAACCGATGCACCAAGCCGCTCCCATCCAAAGACCTTCTGTCGGTGTCAATGGCTGCACACCTTCCAGAATTTCCGTTTCAGTCTGAAATAGGACATTAACAGTCATTGAGGGATATAATCTATGTATATTATAAGAAAGTATATTATAGCCGTGATGAAGGTAGCCTACACTGCTGAAATTTAGTCGAGCGTGTGTAGTCCTGACTCCTGTGGTGGCAGCTGTACTGTAAGATCTCCGTTACTTCCACAGGCACAGGAAAGCCCGGATCATTTCAAAACGAGCCAGCCACGCAATATCTGTGGGCTGGGCTCTACTCGACGGTGCATAACACTCATAAAAGTCCTATTGCATTTTAAAATCACTACTGATGTTTCTCCAGATGGATGAGGAATGGTCACTGGTCCGAGAGGCCGCTTTTGTATAAGGCTCACAAGCAAACTATGTGCCATAAGATCTTAGAGATATATTGTAAAGCTTGTATACATGTTAGGGGGGTGACTTAAGATATAGCTTATCTACTACTATAAACTCTATCTATGATAACTTTATAGCCTGAGCATGGGTAACAATACTATTATGTTATCTATATCTAAGAATAGATAGTCGTAAGATTATCTTTTAAAAGACCAATCTGTCCTAGTGCACGAAATTATAGTCGTAATTGAAGTTTCAGCTAGGTAAGGTCGCATGGCTGTTGTATAATGAGGGTAATTACTTATCCTTTAAGAATACTTATCTTAACTCACCATGTGGTGGTATAATAGTAAAGCGGTCTTATCTTCTCTGGACATTAAATACCCAACTCCCACACGAAGGTAGGGTGCACAGTAACTCTGGAAGTAAAATCAACATTCGATGTGTTTTAGCTAACGCACATACTAAATCATGGGAGACCACTCGCTGTGCTGCAACTTCCTGAGGAAACCCAACGACTCATCGGCAAGCCTAATAATACGAGAGATTTGAGGAAGGAATACCACGGAACATCACGATGAACTAATGGTCCATGCTCCAATAATCATCATCAGTGCTTGGGAAATCAACGATAGAGTCTTCTCTAGGGCATTTTGGCTTGGGCCTAATCCAGCCATCGTTTGGTACACCGCTGAGGCACACTGTGTCAACCCTATGCGGTCCCCAATATACCTTGCCATTGGTCGGCCCTTGAAAGTTGGGACACCATTGCTTTCCTCTTTTGGGATATTTCCTAAAGCCAAGTGAGCAACAAAGCCAGATTATACAAACATCGTTGAACACGTACTCCCACACTTCCGCATAAATTATGTACTCGTCGCCAGCTGTAATAGTATATCCTTGGATGTTGCTGAGTGATTGTTAGCCACCGTAATTAACATGGAAGAGAATTTCTCTTCTCTCACGGTTGTCCACCTAGCGCGTAACACCATCCTAGTTTATACGTTTCTGTTCGATCTCGGCCACCCTTGACGTCCCATTTGAGCTATTATATGTCAATGTCATAAGCAACCATGTCATATAGAATTATCATGCCAGGACAGGTGTTCTATCTGATACAAACCTTAAATGAATAATCACCTGTCACCAGGTCGTTGGCCCACGGGTTACGGAAGAGGGGCACGCTACTTTGCCCATTTGGGAGCTCTTCCTGCGCATCTTGGGCGGCGGTATAAGAAGAAATGCAACTGCAGGCGACGAGCAGAGATCTGCAGAATAACATTGTGCTGAGATTATGTGCCGTCTTAGATCTGCTTTTTAACAAGGGTGAGTTCGCAGTGAGGAAGTCCAATGAATGTATCCCAGCCACGTCCCAAGACGAGGAGGCTGTTATTTATGGTCTCCAACTTCATCATCTGATACCACTGGATGTAGTCTACCAACGACGTCATGTATATCGGAGTTACATTATGGAACGTAACCTTTACCCAATACCACCCATTCATAGTTCTTGATCCTTACAATACTCCTTTCAATTAGCTTTTCGTCGCTTTACATAAACAACTGCGATGGCTATTCGTGTTAGATTATTTTAAATTCTCCGTTATCATTAGCGAGTACTGGGGATCCTTGTTAATATTATGGGATCAGCTCCTTCTTTGAATCCTCAACTCGTTCAATCCCAACATGACACTGTTGATATGATTTAGCTCTGTAGTCGCACTACGCGAGATACTTATCTACTTGCACAGCTTCTGGACGAGGCCCTGGGCATAGCAGACTAGTCGGGGGTTGCCCTACCTCTGCACACAATGAATTCCTGCTTGTAAAACACCATGGCATACATAATCGTGCCTTGACTTGCAACATTCGCACCCTTACGTCTTGGATAAGAATGAGAGCTTTAGCCCTTCACGGCATACGTGTCTTATCAACATAGTGGGCCTAGACTTAACTACTTCGCCCAAGTTTTTCAAATATTCCGCTCCTTGTACGCTGGTATGCCTGGCCACTATCTATAGATATTGTGTTATCGTAATAAATATCTCCTACGCATCATGCATAGATCACCAAAGTCTGTTCTTCACTTATGTGCAACTAACAGTGTCTAAAATGTGTATTGCTGTTAATGGTCCGCGCAACCTTGAACACTACCACTCAAAACCGATGTCCCAAGCCGCTCACCATCCCAGACTTGCCGTCGGCGTTGGCGTCGGCGCCCCCACCGAATACTGTGGCACTGCTTCTTCTACTCCCCTTACTTCCTCCGCGCCCTGGTCCCCAGTAGGCGTTGGACTCGGGAAGCTCACAGTCCCATCCACTATCGGCACCAGAGTCACAGCTGGGATATACCAACTCTGATCACAGCTCTCCCACTTAGCATCAATCTGCGTTACCTCACCCGGCACATCGATGAAAGGCAAATAATCATCCCGGACTAATGTACAGGCAGAATCATACACACCACACTGTGACCCACCGAAGTACTGCGGCCACGGAATTAGGGGCTGAGTATAGTTCCCTACCGTCTGGGGCAAGAACTCTGCAAAGTTGAATGGAAACGCTGTTCCACGGATGGGATACCGCGCATTTCTGTGTCCTCTTCGTGAAGTGATAGATGTAGGATGCACAGAAATCATCTTGTTTTCATGGTATGCGCCACACTGCCCGGCGCGATGACTGTTGCCCCAGGCGTAAATTGATGTGAAAAAGATATAGGCACTCGGTGAGACAAGAGTCTGATCACCTAGCACTGCTGTATTGGGACCGTCACCAGTCGGGGTAGCGTGAATTGTGGTTCCATTTTGAGCGCAGAGGTCGCCACCGGCAGTTGTAACAGGCCAGTAAAACAGTGTTGCGGTATCGGGAAGAAAGTGACAGCTTCTGCATTGCTCTGGCCTCTCTCGTGCTGTCATAGGGCAGCGGTTAGGGGCGAGGGGGCTACTTGTGTCGCCCGGGATGGAAACGGATATACTTGATTCATAGGCCAGTGAGCGGCTTTTGTACGTTTCCCAGACGGCCTTGCAGCCTTCAAGGTGAAGCTCGCAAGTTGGGGAGGCTGATGGTAGGTGATAGAGAGTTGTGGTGATGGTTGTTGGGACGTAGAAGGTGCTGCATGGTCCTGTGCCCGGGTAATAATCTGTTATGGTTTCTCGGGGGCCTAAGGCGCGTGCATGCCCGTCGCAGAGCGTGGTGACAGGCCCCGTGTGGGTGTCATAGTATCGTTCCAGGTGGCTGCTAGTCGTGCAGGCACCTGTGCTGGTCGGGATTAGTTCTGTTAAAGTCGAGGTGGCGGCAGGGCCTAGGGACTCGAGTTCGCTTGAGCGGGCATCATATTGCATCCATTGCGCTGCGCAGTCGACGTCAGGGTTGTCGGTTGGTCCATACAGGTAGTCGGTTGAGGTTGGCCAAAAGAGGCTTGTACCGGAAATGACGAGCCACTGACTACTGGTGTAGCAAGTTGGTTCGCCCGAAGGACGTGGGGAGGTGAGCGATTCTGATGATGGGACTTGGGAGTCGCTGGCTTTGGGAGTAGTGGCGCGATTGAATACTACCCCCTTGTTAGTTCGTTACGCCTAGAGTAGTTGAAGATGATAGAGCATACGAGGATTACCCCATGCTGTCGGTAGGCAAGACAACAACAGGATTGCTGGGACCATTTTGACCACGAAAATAGTCATGTTCGTTACACGGCACACGCACTTAAAGTAATTTAGGAACGATATTTTGAGACTTTCATGTAGATATATACCACGCCCACATCCCAGTCCTCACGTGGTGGGGTCTCACTTGAATCTAAGTGCATGTTCAATGAACAGAGCAAACTTCGACATTTCAGCTGAGTCTGACATACGCCACTTGTATCAATTGCTGTTCCTATTGGTCCGGATTCACCTGCAGGTGAAGAGATTGCAGTTAATATTCAAAAGACAGGGGCTTGGTAGGCTGACACGATCAAGCTGAATGCATGAAACCCTAGGGCGGGGAATCGTACGACTGCCACGACTCGTCGTATTCATTAGGGTATGACTTGCCGATAGGAGGGGAAGATCTAAGATTGAAAAGGATTTCCGCCAAGTGTATTGCAGAAGATGTGCTTATTTCTGATAGCCGCGTTTACGTTATTACATTAAAATCCATTAAAACTATGATCCCACAGCGATACAGTGAGCCCACCTATTCTTCAGCATCGAAACCTCTCCCCCTGTCCGTCCCTACTATGTTGTGAGGGCCACTGCATGTATCGTCTAACTCCTAACCTAATGAATTTTTCTAGGTCGAGATACGCTGTCAATCGTATTCCTGTCAATTCCTCGGGCAGCGGACCGGCAAGTGGTCCTCGGTAATCTCTAGTCACTACGAACGCACGACCACAAGCAGATACATGCTTTTCCATTTCTACAAACTTTACAACCAGGTGACTACCCTCAAAGCAAGAAGTGCCGACATGGTGTCCCCAGCTGGATGAGAGATAATGGTAAACTGGATTCAATTCCATTGGTCTCTATAACACCCCGTAGGATAGACAGAAACCGCTTTGAAATATTTCGAAGAGAAGATACGTGATGCCGCTTATGGAAATAGCCCCCGGATGCATTAACCTAGTCCAGGTGGTTAAAATACTAGTAAATTATACAGTTGACAAACTGGACGGTGTCACTTTCGTGATGATATGTGATCAAACCTGCACAAAGGGAGACCTTATGCTTATGGGTGTCACAGTAATCTCAGATACCTTGAACAACAAGACATATAAAATCGTTCATCAGCTCTCCAGCCTCAATCCCGAAGCATGGTATGCGATACTTTTTGAGAGTTTGTCTCGCGTCGCAGCATGCCTCATTTGTATATCTGCGGAAGATATGGTTCTATAATGAATGATACGGTCGGTTGCTGCTCGAGCAGAATGTGAGGATGCCAAGAGCAAGATCAACTGTACAAAGTCAGCTCCCTATAGCGTCATATATTCCTCCGTTGAAGAAAAGCGTGAATGCTTCTAATACTGTCCATTTGTTTCGGTGCTAGGAAGTGTGCTCTATCATACCCCAATCTGCTTTGCTCGGTACCATATTCTACAGTCCACCTGATGTCCTTGACGTAATGGAAGCCTCTTAACTGATACTCCCCACAAAGCTGTTGAAGAAGGTACTATAGTAAGTGCCAATAATGACCGGAGGCATGAAAGAATGAACTCTATTCCTGCTCGCGAATAGCCACAACGTTGCCATCGTGTATGATTTCAAGGATTATTTCCACCAAATCTGGTCATGAAGATATCTCGGAGCAACTTTTGGTCCGTAGAGGATGCTTAGCGAAGTGGCACCACGAATGAAGACCCTTGGAATTTAAACTTGCCGCACGTTATGCCTTCATAGGCAAGGGTTGCGAGTTCTGATCTGCGCCAATGTTGGAAGCCGGCCACTAGCAGCTTACACGTGAATAAAGAGAATACACATGGCCCTCGGCTTTTTGTCACTATTAAAGTAGATTCAGGTCAGCATAAACTTTTCTACCCATGCAACCCTGCACCGACCTGGGATTTCCGCCACGAATATACCAGAGCCAAGGATGGAACAATATCAAAACCCGAAAGACTCGATGAAGTCAACCTGGCGCCGATGGGACAAAAGCCAATGGACACTATCACACAAACTCTTTGAACATGCGAACCTTTACCATGTTGACCTCGATAGGGAGGTCCCGGTTCATTCAAAGCAGGAAAAGGTACCCTATGTCTCAGACTGGTCTCTCCACCGCTGGATTATCTTTCATGCTTCTATACCACTCATCCTTCACCAACTCTATGTGTACCTTACCGGCCAAAATTTCGGTCCTATCATTGCGTTCGCCTTCTACTACTACACTACCAGGATATTCACAAGCCGAGAACTTCGAAACCTTCGCGAGATGGGCCATACCCATGGGTTTTTAGATGGCGACAAACACGAGCGGGATGGCGTCCCCGATGTGGGAGTTTCCAAGGTACTGACATCGGTCATGCTGGCAAGCGTTGTTCGCCCAATGATGATGGTGTATCTCACCTACACTGCAACTAATGCTCCAGCGTCTATAAGCTGGCGATGGCTCCCAGTCGAAGTCAGTCTATATGGCATCGTTCTTGATTTTTGGTTTTACTGGTACCACCGCATCATGCACGATGTAAATGGGCTCTGGAAATATCACCGGACCCATCACCTTACCAAGCACCCAAATCCCCTCCTCACCATATATGCCGACTCAGAACAAGAGTTCTTTGACATTGCAGGTATCCCCCTGATGACCTATTTTACAATGAAGATCATGGGGTTCCCAATGGGGTTCTATGAATGGCATGTGTGTCAGCTCTATGTGCTATTCGCAGAACTAGCCGGACACAGCGGTCTTCGTCTTCATGCATCACCACCAAATCCATTGACCTGGCTCATGCGCATCTTCGACGCGGAATTGGTTATTGAAGATCATGACCTTCATCATCGAAAAGGTTGGAGGAAGAGTCACAATTATGGAAAACAAACACGAGTTTGGGACCGTGTGTTTGGTACTTGCTGCGACCGGATTGAAGGAGTAGATGCCAACATCGACTACAAGAACACAGTCGCAATGAGCATTTTCTAGGTCTATCTTTCTTTCTGTGCTACACTCTTTTCCAAACTAGTATTAGTCCCCGGTATACTTCCTCTATTGTTTCAAACCCTACTGTTACTCAGAAGGATTGGTGTTCAGCCTTGGCGGCTTGCTATATGGTTTTGACCGGCGGCTAACGTATGGTCCAACTGTGTACAGGGCTAGCCCTAGAATCAAAGAATAATGACTCGCGGACCATGCGGAGTGACACTGCTTCTGCAATCGAGTGCTATGATTGATTGATATCAGGAGTCTAGGAAATCAGCTACAATGCATTTACTTTGCAAAATTCCAATCCTTTTGTGGGAAATTCGAACAGGAAATACTCCACCCTGTGAAATAAGGATAGTGGTGTCTTTAGACATAGAATTGAAATTTAGGTTGGAAGACCTAACCGTACTGGACAAACAGACCCTCTTAGTATTATCACCTTGCTGCAAAACTTCCAATGTTTATAACTATGATTCAAACTCAAGGCAGTTCTCCTCAGTAGAAGACAGCCTTCTGCTATTGATTGCCAGTATATAGTGTTCTAGTTGTATAGGCGTGGATCGACTACAGATTTGAAGCAGAAGTATCTATCCTTTAGGTCCTTTTCCATTGTATAGGTTAAAGCATTATTGCCATGAAGTAGGTTGAGCCCAGTAGTGCCATTACGAAAAAGTCATCGACTGCTCTCATGACACTGATATCAATTTCGAAGCCGCACCCGCGACGCAAGAACATTCTTCTTCGGCGGCAGATAACAGTACAAAGGCAAACGTTTATTCCCCTGCAGTACCCAAACATCGTCAAACCAGTGGTCCAACCTTCTCGTATACGTACTTCCCTCCAGCAGACTGCTGTTCCGCCTCGTGAGCTCCTCCAGCGAAACGGGACTATCCCGCTCAACCCGCGTTCGGACACTTTCCTGGGGTGGGAGTACGACCTCCCTCATATCAAGCCTATCAGTGCAAATATGTCTCCTCCAGCGTTCATCGTGGGGATCTAATCCAGCACCAAGATCCAACCACTTGCTAACTACGACCGCTACGCCCTCATTCCCACACAGCCGCACCTCGACCTGGAATGTGGTGTCACACGGGGGACAATGGAACGTTCGTGGGGCCTCACTCTGCGCCTCCGTCTCCGTCTCCTTTCCGATCTCCCTCTCGCTCTCCCTGGCCTCAAACCCACGCCACATACATGCCTCTAGTCCCCTTTGGATAACTGCATACACATGCGGCGCATGCAAATTACTATGCCCACAAACCCTGATAAATGGCAGCCGATGGACATGGAAATCAGGCATTAGCACCCAATTCTGCAACCGGAGACAAAGACTCGCCTTTCCACCGGACGAAGCACACACGCGCGCATCCACCGATAGGAGACTCGTCAGCCGGCGTGACGGGGACTTCAGCACCTCGACATGGGCCAGCTCGTCCGTTGAGATCCCGTGCTCGGGCCCGCAGTAGTGCCGCTTCATGGCGAGCTGGACGTGCACGTAATTGAACTGGTACAGGGACTCAGTTTGGTGGATCGACAGGCACCACTGTAGACAGCGCATGGTCTGGTCCGTGTTGTGTCGGGGAAAGTGGACATCGGTCTGCCAGGCGGGACCCGGAGGGCTGATGTCCTCCCGTCGGTGGAAGTGAGCGCAGACCCGGCAGTAGATGAGTGAGGGGCGATCGCGAGCGAGGTTAGTGTGTAACCTGTGCCAGGCCTCTGTCCGGATGCGAAACGGGCGTTTCTCGCCGAACAGGCTGTGGAGATGGCGGTTGCAGAGTGAGAGACAGGCTTTGGCAGCTGGGTCTAGCGACTTGACTATCATATAAAGGATCTCCAGTGGAAGGCCTTCTAGGTAGCAGACTTGCTGTGGTGGCGAGTCACTATTTGAGACTGTGTGGCCCCATGGAGATGGGATCCAGTTGACCAAGCCTACGAGGGATTGCATCTTAGGGGATGATGAAATACAAGCCGTAGGGAAGCCGAGCTGGCCATTCATGTCCTTTGTCAGATAATAAAATATATGTCTGGTGATAGCGTGATCCCGTGATTTATACGAGCATTCAGCCTCGAGCTTAGCTAATATCATCCGAATTCGTTAAAACTGCGATATATCATGGCAGTCTCAGCAGAGAAAATGCAACTACTACAACACACACACATATATATAAGAGGGGGAACGCAACGTGGTATGGGGTATGCTTGAAGGTCGGTTGGCCAAGGTAGAAGAATTGCTAGACATAGGGCATGATAAGCCAAGAAACAGAAGTCTAGAGGCAGCCCCCGAGCTTAACCACTGGTTGTAAAATATTAAAAATTCCATTGCTTTACTTTCTTTTGATTTGCTCAGACAGTGCGGTTAAGCAACTAGTGATAACCAATGGAAGGACGTGACATCTCAAGCGTGGAGTTTGACAAGCCTGGCGCCTTTATCAATGCCAAGCTTTTCAGGGGTCGCGACCAAAAGACCAATTGTGGAAGTTTTATAAGTGCAGCGAAAGCTATTAGCACAAAGGCCATTACCAATCTCGGGGCTGAGGGCAGGGAGTCTACTACTAACCTTTGACTCGGTTCAGGTGCGAGTGACTGTGTACGCGTAGTTATATATTGTAATACATGCATACCTGCTGTTACAAGGGGGTTGGTTTTACTTGGCAGCCCAACGACAGTTTCTTTACCTTTCATATGGAGCGATTAGACAAAGTTAGAGTGGTCCTTGGGTCCGGATTTGGCCCTAGAAGTACTCCGTCCTGTATGCAAAATACAGTACCGCGATGATTACTCATAAGCCCCGCATGACGGAAGTGTTGTGGCTCCTATTCTGTGCCCCGTGCACTATTGACAATTCCACCACAGATGACCCCGTATCCCATACCCCATACCCCATACCCCAAGAACTACTAACAAGCTTAGTATACCTTAGCCTGTACGGCATCCCTCAAAGCCGACCTTGTTAGATTACGCAAGGAAAGTGCGGAGGTGGAGGTGGACGGGAGAGGTGCGAAAGGATCTCAGCCGCACCTGAGCTTCTGTCCTCACCCGTTGTAACCAGCTTTAATACTTTTCACCATTTGTCGTCAGCTAAATCATGGCCACATTGCTGAACCGAGGACGACGCCGCCAGCGGAAGACATCACAAGAGGAGCGCATCTGCTCGATTTGTTCCCAGTCGTTTAAAAAGGCCGAACACCTGGCTCGCCATTTTAGGTCCCACACCAAGGAAAGACCCTTCATGTGTCAGGTGTGCTGCAAGCCTTATGCCAGACAGTATGTCTTCTGTTCCAGCTTTTATCCCCTGTAGTCTGATGCAAAAAGCGATACTCTCTTGCGCCACGTTCGCTCACAACATGTGGGTACCCAGCCACATGAACAGCCAATCCATGGGAATAGCGCCCCCATAAGCGCCCCCATAAGCTACTCAGGCTCGCATTCAACAGCCCTGGAGAGGCCCTCTGTGGATCAAGCCTCTGCCAGCGTAGACTCGATAATCCTGGCCACCGGACTTGGTCGACCTGAGCCGCAATGTCCATCTCTCGACCACGATTCAAACACGGCTACTACCACTTCACTTAGGTTCTCTCCTCAGCATGCCGATGCGGGCGCTACTGCTGCGTGTAATATTTCGGAAAATGACAACAACTTAGTACCCGCAATTTTCCCAACTGAAATGGGCTGCTCCAGGCCCTGGCCGGCCGTATGGAACAACAGCCAATGGGACGAAGATGGCACTTCGCTATTTGCGTGGGATAACTTTGATCTTGATGCTGTCAACCAGACCTTGTTGGAATCCTTGGATTACGGGCTGCAGAATACCGTGCCGGGCCCTACAGACTGTTCCATCCCTTCCGATCCGAATCTCAATTTTTCCCATGGGCCCACGCTGGTACAAAGAAGATGGCACACCTTTTCCGAGGCACCAATGCCATCGGGCGACACAACCCCTGAGCGCCCAAGGATCAACAATATTGTCAACACCCATGACGATGATCGTTATCGTCAAAAGCTGGTTGAAAGCCTCCAGCAGAGAGTGCAGCCAGGTATTCTGCCATCTCTTAAGTTCCTGGTAAGCATTCATTGATATACTAACAACCCTTGGCTGATGGCATCGTAGGACCTTTGTCTGCAAGCATATTTTACGCATTTTCAAACCATCTTCCCCCTCATTCATGCACCCACATTTCAGCCATCAAAGGGAAACGCGGTTCTCCTGCTGTCAATGTGCACAATCGGCAGCCTGTTTCTGGGTTCATCGAAGGCCTTGACACATGGAATAAGCATGTTCGAAAGACTTAACAAAGCTATACTTGCTTCAGTATGTTTCATTGCCTAGCCCTTGAACAAAGTCATTCGGAATTTAACGTAGTTGCTGATGCTAGATGTAGTGGGATACGTACATGCAAGCAACCGGGTCGGCTTCTATTCAAGCCCTTCAAGCTTCTCTAATCGGGCAGACATTCGGGTTGTTGTCGGGAGTATGCAACCCGACTTTGTCCCCTCCTTCAGCTTGCATCTCCGCTAACCAGAGATCAGCGACCCAAAGATCTGGACTGCACAGAGGCCTTCCATGGCTGTATAGTAGCCGTAAGTTATCTCTCGCCAGTGCGACAAATTTCGGGGATCATACAACTAATTGATTGCAGTGGGCCCGCAAGATGAAGCTGTTTCATTTGGACGAGACCCCTATAGGGCATGTGGAGACGCTGGAAGATGACAGCGAAGCCCTCAATGATACATGGAAGACCTGGGCTCGCTTGGAGGAGAAAAAGCGGTATGGCTTAGGAAACTCGCGCATCGAAATATTGGCGGAGACTGACAATGAACACTTTAATAGCATCACGCTCGCAATTCACATTCATGATGCTGAGCTGGCTAAGCTTCACCACCACGAGCCAATCCTTAGACATGCCCCCGAGAAACTGGCCCAGATTTCTGCTCCAGAGTTATTTGCCGCCCCCAACTCAAAATCTTGGAAAGCTTTGTTCACCAGGACTCAACCACCTACCCGAGACATATCGCTTTCGCCTGAAAGCGGCTCACTTCTGTGCCTAAGGATTCTGGAAAATGATTTTCAATCCTACGCTACACTTAACTCTATTGGTGCACTAGCATACGAGAACAGGGACTTCGGACCCTCGTGGCATGCAACCATGCAGAAGTGTCAGGGACTATTAATAGATTGGTACCAGAAGTATGTTACAGCCTCAAAGGTGAGCAATAAGGCTGACCATTTCTGCCTGATAATCCTTTGGCATTCTATCTTCATGCACCTCTACAGTCGATTTGATGAGCTAGAGTGTGCCTGTGGAAGAGACGGCGAAAGTGCTGCCCAGAAACAGCGAGCATATGCGACCTCCTGGGCAGCATCCGGGGACGCAGCACGCACTCTCCTCCATGCAATTCTGATCCAACAACATTTTCAGCTGCTACCTGTCGGTGCGGAGCCCGCAATCCATGTGCCAATGGCGCTATATTATTGCGGAATTGCATGGACCTGCTTCACGCGCTTTGGGTCTAAACTTAACGAGCGATCTGTCGACACTACTGAGCTCTTGGACTTTCCGGAAATGAGGTCCGTTGGGGTCAGTCAGATGAAGCTGTTCCAGGATGCCACAAGTAGTGTGCAGTGGGGAAACCCCGAATCGGCTCCTTTCTTCAGGGTCATTGATCTGCTAGGGAAAATCAGCCACTGGAAGGTGTCTGGAAGTTTCGCGAAGACCTTATTATCACTTGTGGAGGACACGCAGGATCTATTCTAACAGCCCTACGAATTTCCTCTTTTGCATTATGAGGATTTGAAAGCGTATCTGATGTTATCATGGATGCGGTACTATATATGTTGCGCGTAGAGTGTAAAGGTGTTCAGTCAATATTGATCAATTAGGGATTTGAATATATGGACAACCTTCTTGGCTGCACTATCTGGATGTATTACGTCTTCTTGCAGTCAGTACGCGATGTCAGTCGACAGATCAAGCCGTATTGCTTGGCAAACCAGAACGTCTCAACCCTCCATTCCGAGCTATCAGAGGCCCATTTAATATCGAAATGCCGAACAAGTTGGGGAATTAATTTACCCATTTCCATGATCGAGATATTCTTACCAATACACGTGCGCGATTCGTAACCAAACTGCGTCATTTAAGATGTCAGCTATATGGAAAACGAGACTTTTTCGCACGGGGGAAAAAAGAGGTACGTACCGTCATAAGGTGACGATCCATCATCTTGACTCGTACTTCGTCAGAGTCTATCCAGCGTTCAGGACGGAATTCAGCAGCATCCTCTCCAAAGACGGATTGGTCAAGGTGCATGACTGCTGGGTTGACGCCAACAATGGTTCCGGCCTGGAGATGCACGCCGCACAATGAAACCCCGGCCGCCGGGACGACTCTTTCTAGCGGGTACGAGACTCCGGGATGGCACCTCATTGCTTCTTTCATCACGGCTTGCCTGGTGGTTAAAACGATATGTGAGAAAGAGGAACATGTAGGTCCGGCGCGGACACTCGAAGACGCTGCGTGAGATAGGTGGGTAGGGCTGGCGACTTACAAGTATGGCAGCTCCAGGCACTCTGTATAAGTCACGTAGTGCGATAACTTCCCCGCCCGGTCTGCTTCGTCAATTTCGTTTTGAAGCTTCTGATACACCGATGGGTTTTTCACGAGATAGTAGACAATCGCCCGCAGCGATATCGCGGTGGTATCACTACCAGCCAGCCTACATATAATTCCCTGGGGTCAGCTATGCCATTTAGAAATAGAATCGGTCTTTGACAAACAAGTTGTTACTCAAATGATTGACCAAATCCCGATGCGACATTGGCTTGCCTTTTGTCGCCTCGCCGCGCAACCAGGAGAGAAAATCCGGTCGGTCGCCATGCTCTGCTACAGCTTGACGGTCATAATCGTCCATACATTCTTGTGTATACTGCATATGTGCACGATACATTAGATAATTATCCAATGGGCAGTGGCTAGAATGAAATACCTTTACGATCGTCCGCAAGGGATCAGGGATATCCACGAACGGCTGCCCTGCCAAGAACTTCGACACCCAGCGATTTCCCATCAGCCAGTGATGGACAACAGGTATTTGGCCGGCAAGTGCCGCATATCGTAGGGCGGAATCGATGGATTTGATCATGCCTAGTATATCCTCACGCTTTTCCATAAAGCCGAACCTCCGCTGGAAGGTAATAGCACCAATCACATCAAACGCGTACCACTGCAGCCATGTGCCTAAATCGACCGACTGGCCTTCAAGATTCCTCATGGCATCCAGAAAGATGTCGGTGCATTCATCAGCGAATGGTTCCATTGCGCGGATGGAGGACATGGAAAACTTCTGTGCAACCGGCCGTCGGAGTGCTTGATGCTGGCTGGGGTCGCGCACGGAGAACATGCTCGCCATCACAGTCTCTTCATGAAATGGACTGAACATGTCATAGAACGACGACTATTAAATGTGGCTATTAGCTCCCTACCCTATCGTCTTGCTGTGTGAACGCAAAGGGATTGAACCATGGGCGCGTAATTTACCTTCAAAAACTTGCTATTGATGCCATACACCACAGATACAGCTGCCGGGTCCGAAATATCAACTGTATTTGGCCCAGTCCGTACAGTCTTTCCGTAACGCTTGTGGAGTTCACGGTAGAAATTAGGGGCATCGCCACCAGCTAGCTTCCATGGCCGGTAAAGTGAGGAAAATCTGGCAAGGGTGGGCCCTGGAATTGACCTCAACCCCGGTTTAAACGCCGTCATAATTGATTGTATGGCATGGTAAATGAACCATAACAAGAAACAGACGGCAGAGGCCCGGGAAGGGTGCGAAAGAAAATACTGAGGAAGACTTCCAGCATTGATCGTCTGGACATCTGACTCCGACATATCGTGTGCGACTGAGGAACGGGCACTGAATGGACATTGTGGTAGACATAATCGACTAGGATATCGCTGTTATATCTCACAATCAATTCAGCTGACTATGACTATCCCCACAACCCCCGCAAGATCTGCATATTCTGCATCCATCACAGTTCCAAGCCTCAACCGTCATTTCGATCCGTGGGCGCTCATTTTGTGGGGCTTATGCACCTGATGGTCCCACCGGCAGCCGAAGGGGATTGTCACAGAACTGCCGAGGAAGCTGTAGGGTAAGCTTGGATAGGGACCGCATGCATGCCCTTGATCAACAGCATGACCAGGTGTGTTCCCGTCTGGAAGTAGTTCGCCTCGAGTATCTAGCCTAGAGGAGCAGGCTTGACAAGAGCTTACAGCTCCATATGGGTCACACCCATGACCTTCACGGTTACAGAGTGCAATGGGGGATGTAAGAGCTCCCATATAACGGATATCTGAAATTACATTATCTGAGCTAGGTTTTTAAATAAGGCTTCCGAGACATGTCTTCAGCCGATTCCTGGTACGTAGCGAGTGCAACTGCCATCATAGTATACGAGCCTCAATTCTCACACTACCCTATCCTAGAGATATTTCATCGGATTCCGGACAGTCGCTAGCCCCTCCAACTCAACCTCCACAATATCCCCGTCTTGCAACGGCTCCTTTCGGAAATAGCCCACACCTGACGGTGTTCCAGTCATGATAACGGTACCCTTTCTCAACGTAGTACCCCGCGACAAATGACTAATAATCTTCTTCACCCCGAATATCATATCCCCGGTGCTAGTCTCCTGCTTGACTACTCCGTTAACCCGGGTGCGTAACCACAGAGCTTGCGGATCGAGGATCTGCTCCGCAGAAACAATGGTATGTCCAATTGGACCAAACTTATCAAACGATTTAGCATAGCAATACTGGCCTCCCGACGCTTCTGGGACTTGGAAATTACGGGCGGAGACATCGTTGCCGGCTGTGTAGCCCAGGACATAGTCCAGTGCTGATTCCTCAGAGACATTCAGGGCATCCCTTCCAATAACCACAGTCAATTCGCCCTCATAGTCAAGGAAGGACTGAGCATCAGGGTGGATCGAGATACCCTCGAAGGGGCCTGCGAGGGCGTCGGCAGGTTTGGTGAAGACCGCTGGGTAGGTCGGGTAGGCAAGCTGGTGGTGACGTGGGTTAGTGTATGTAGTTTGTCCTTTTTGATGGAAAGGACTTACGTTAGCTTCCTTGGCGTGCTCCTTGTAGTTCAGACCGATGCAGATGATAAGAGGTGTACTCTCGATCGGCTGTAATAGCTAGAAGACGAGTGTTGGCATGCACAGGTTCAGTCAGAGAGCATCAAAAAGTGGACGTACAGTATCTACTGTGTAGTACTCCTCGGTCGGGACCAGCTTATCGAACGGACTACCATCTAGTCGCTGGACGACATACTTATCGTCCTTGGTCTCGAGCAGCTCGCCATAGTATGCTCTGCCATTGGCATGAAAGCGAGTCAACCGTTTAAAACCAGCCATTGCGATGATGCACTTCGAAGTGTTTTCCTCTCGATGCTAATTGATGAAAGGATGCAGTGGATAACTATAAAATAAGAGGTGCTCAACAGGAGTTATGTCCCACATATTATCTTTTGGCTCACTATCCACCTATGCGGCAACTATGGATAGTCCCACATACAAGCCGGACATAAGAAACAGTGCGGGCTAAAAGTCCCCACGACGAAAATGAAATGCAGCATATCACCTCGTATTTTCCGAAGTAATTCAATATCCATTATCTTACGCAATCACTATACGAGATGGCTGAATCTATGCCAAAACCTAACCGTGGCATGACGCTCGCCGACACCGTGGCCATGGGGATCAACCAGGAGTCCCAGGCGAGTTGGCTGGCGAAGCGGCATATCAGCGTGGAGAGTCGCATCAAGTTAACAAGGCTATCCCACATGCGATACCAACACCCTGACCTTGATGCGATTCACCAATTCATGATGGATTTCGGACTCCAGGTTGCGCTTCAGACAGACGATGAGGTTTGGTATAAGGGTTATGGGCCGGACCAGTATGTTTACTATGCCAAAAAGGGGCCGCGAAAATTCCTAGGCGGTGTTTTCCAGGCGGCTAGTTGGGATGATTTTGAACGGTAAGCAGTGTCATTTGTCTTCTAGTTGATGGTCAATACTGAGACAGATACTTTGAAAGGGCATCCAAGCTGTCTAGTGCAGAGCCAGTCGAGCAGCTGCACGATGCGCCAGGCGGTGGCTTTCTTGTCACAGTGACCGACCCAGAAGGGTTTCCCGTTAATGTGATCTACGGACAACAGTTGGTAGCCGACAAACCGACGTACTCACCTGAGAAGGTTGTCCTCAACTTCCCAGAGGAGAAGCCTCGAGTCAGACAGTTCAACCGCTTTGAACCTGGTCCAGCTGCCATTTACAAGGTAGAGTTGCATTAATTATCTTCTCATCATTTTATAATCTAATGTGTGACGAAGTTGGGCCATTTCGGGCTTTGTACACAAAAGTTTGAAGAGCAGCTCGAGTTCTACACTTCAAACTTCAACATAGTTCCCACCGACTTCGTCTACGTAGAAAAAGAAGGGCACCAAGTCCCGGTAACTCATGCATCTCGATTTAGACTCGGAGCCTGTTGACCACCACTCGTTCTTCCTTAGCGCCAACCCCAAGGCAGCGCATGTGCATCACAGTTCCTATGAGGTGTATGACTTCGATGCCCAGCATCTTGGACACGAGTGGCTTGTGGCGAAGGGGTACCGTCCAACTTGGGGTATCGGCCGCCATGTACTTGGGTCGCAGATATTTGATTACTGGTGGGACATTTCTGGTAATATGGTTGAACATTACGCGGATGGTGACTTGGTTAACAATGAGACCCCGATCGGATACATGCCTGCTGGGGAAGACACGTTGGCCATCTGGGGTCCGAAAGTCCCAAGGAATTTTATGGAATAGGTGGTTTGTGTTAATAGCTATTACTTTCTTTAAATAATTTATAAAGACAACAAACGAAAAATCATTTCTTTCGACTACCTAACATTGTCCCGTCACCAGAGGCGTCTTTTAATGGTAATCTATAGTGAAATCTCCTGTTGATACAAGATTATATATTTTCGGCGACTAACAGGTAGAAAATGTGAAACCGCCTCATTCTTTTTTGTTCGTTTCACAAAAGCACCCCCCTCCCCCCCAAAAAAAAGGGGAACTATAATGCCTCGGTCATTTGGGAAGCTCCAGAGGAATGACATGAATAAAATATACAGCATAGGCCCCTCAGTGGTATTAAAACATGCGGGTTGTAGATGGACCCGAAGTGGATGACCGTCGGTATAACGTTTCCGGTGGGAACTATCTTATTGTCCCGCACTTGCTACGGGTAAGTCAATTACCCACCCCCATTATTGACAACGTCCATACCATTTTTCTCGGTACTTCAATCATATCGATATATAACTAGCACCCTCCTTCGAAGCAAGGGAGAAGAAAAGGTGAATTCAAATATAACTCGAAAGGTCGTATTCCTGTGCTTTGTCCGTTACCCGATGGACAGCTACGAGCAAACCGACGTCTTAATTTGCGGCTGCGGCCCGACAGGCGCAATGCTGTCTGGATATCTGGAAAGAATGGGCATCCGTAATATTGTATTAGAGAAGGAGGCCGATATAACGACTGATCCGCGGGGTATCGCTCTTGACGACGACGGCATTCGAGCTCTGCAGGGACTGGGGCTCTATGAGCACGTTTTCACAGATATTGGATCACGTTAGTATGCACAGGCTACCAGAGGGTTCATGATATGCTGATATATTTATGTTTGCAGCCATTCCGTGGATGCGATTTGTGGGGGGCGTTCATCATGATCTGCACAGGAAGCCGTTCCTCTCATTTGATACTGCCTCGGTAAGTACTTTGTCAAGAACAATGCTCATCGCGAAGTCTGATGTTAATGAAGTTGAAGTCCGAGGGCAACACAGGACATGTGGGAGCGATGCGCCACAAGCAGCCTGTCATGGAGAGACATCTTCGCTCTGTTATTGATTCGTCGAAATTTTCAGAACTCAGGTCCAGCTGTACCTTGACATCGATCCATGAAGACGATAACTGGGTCTATGCTACCTATAGCGACTCTATTACAAAGAAAAATGGAATTCAGGCTAAATTCCTGGTTGGAGCTGACGGAAAAACCGGATACACACGGAAGCTATACTTGGAGCCAAAGGGAATTCGACTAGAATGGGCAGAGAAGTAAGCGGGTGACGGTCTCATGAATCTCATGGTATCATATTACTGACTGGATGGATATCAAGGACAAGGTACAACGAAACATGGGTTGCTCTCAATTGGAAAATACACCTTCCAACGCCAGTTACTCATCCCCAGTTTCCACTGTGGAAGTTAGGCTATTCTCCAGAAATGGTGTACGATCTCTTTTTTCCTGAGGACTTCCGCTTCCTCTGCAATGCTCGTCGGCCAGCTGTCTGTGGCCGGTTTGGGCTTCCCAGTGACCGACTATGGCGGTTCGAGTTTGTTATCGCTCCCGGGGAAGACGGGACTGAGATGGCCCAAAGGAATAAGATTAGAGAGGTGGTTGTCCCTTATATTACACACTCGGGAAGTCGGTACGGGCAAGTGTATCCAGCATCTCATCCCATGTTCAGAGCCTTCTAACAGGCCCAAAATTAGTCTGACCGAGGATGTCGAATACCCTGAGGACTGTATTGAAGTCCTTCGTTCACGACCGTTTCGCTTCTCTGCTAGAAGCTGCAACAAATGGGCTCTTGGTCGAACAATCCTCTGTGGTGATGCAGCGCATGTTTTCCCCCCGTGTACGTCAGTATCTGCGTATCCCAGCCCAAATTTAAAAGGATAGGGCGAACTAACCAAATATGATAATGCTAATTTTAGTCGGAGGTCAAGGAATCGCATCTGGGTTTAGGGATGCAATTGGCCTTGCCTGGCGTTTAGCAATTTTGTGCTCCTCGAAACATCCACTTGATCATGAGGCTATCCTCGCTGCCTGGTATAAGGAACGGAAGCAACAGCTCGACAAATCTCTCGCGGCTACAGTGCGGAATGGAGATATGGTAAATACTAAGAACTCGCTGGAGGGATTTATTCGCGACTGGTCCCTATGGTCAATGCAATTAATTCCTCAATGGAAACACTGGCTTGAGCGAGGACCCAGAGCTGAAGGCCCGACTGAGTACTCTCACACGCCAGGCCTTCCATTTCTCCCCGATTTAAATGGCGGAGCTAGCTTTTCCCAGACCTACTGCGTTGCTCTTTCCGACAAAGAGGAAATTGTTCGATTTACGGACGACGCTATCTTTGCTTCGAGCAAGACAAAACTGTTTCAGATTGTGGTTCTGTTGCCAAATCTCCAGGCGCTAAACCCGGCTCTAGAAGAACTTGTTGGAATGGACCAGGAGAGCACGAGTCTCCTGTCTTATAATGAAGCAACAATATTTGTCCCTCGCGTCTCAGTTCCAGAATCCGTGGACAGCCAAACCCCTGAGACTGTCACCGACAGGTTATACCGCTCAGCCTCCGCGGAGGAGTTCGGTCGATGCCCATTATGTCAAGGCCGTCCCACGCCGCGAGGATACAATGAAGAACTAATGTGGCAGAATATGTGTGGAAAGCGATATATTATCCTACGGCCGGACCGGTTTATTTTCGCGGCGTGCAATACAACGACAGAATTGGATATGGCTGCAAAGCAGCTGGAGAAGATGTTCTCTTGAGCCGTGAAGATTGCTGTATAGTCTTAATACTATCCTTGTTCCCCTATTGCATGATCCCACCTAGTGCATAATTTCCATATGGACTGATTTTGAGGTGATCGCCCAGACCAGTATTCTCATAAGCTCAGGTAAATCCAAGGTTCTGTAGCACTCATAGTTCCCGCATGGCATTCCTCGGGAATCGGGGAAGAATAGTACCTGATATGTTGGCCATAATTGGACCCGCGCGAGTCAATAAACAATTATAATTGACTACCGTGGCAATAAAACCAGCGTATTGTGATACATCTCAAGTGATTCCTCGACAGCCCTGGGAGCACCTCGCCCCGGAGTCGACCATCACGGGCCAACTCCGCCGAGCGTTGCAGAGACACTGGGGAGAATCCTGTCGGGGATGACAATGTAACTCCGCGTTCTTGCTACGTAGGCTTATTATTCAGCTGGGAACTCCCCCTTCATTTCTCAATCATCCATCGAGCATTTCTCTGAGAATCCTACTAGTAATATTTCAACCTGAATTAGAAGAATGTTTTTGTGGCAAATGGAGTACCGGTAAAGGTTCCACATCATCGTCCCCAGGTGGAGGTGGGATCTATGGCCCGGAGGTTTCGGAAAGGCCGTCAGAAACAACAACTTAAAAGACTCGACGAACTAACGTAAAACTTGTTGCTAGAAACGCTCAATATATAAAACACCAAAAGAAAAAAAAGAAAAAACCAACAGCCGGCAATGGAAAGAATTGACACCCATTGCCACATTGTTCCAAGCGGATGGAGGAAGTGGTGTGACAGGCATGGTTGGGACAAACCTGATGGAATGCCCGGAATTCCTGTAAGCGACTAGCCATTTCCATTGCAGATTGCGATACGGGCTAAATATAGTTCACCCTCCAGGAATGGTCTCCCGAGGCTCATATTGTGCTGATGGATAAGCTGAATATCAAGCGGTCCATACTAAGCATTACATCGCCAGGAACGCATCTGAAAGTTGGGGATGTTGACCTCGCGAGACAGGTGACCAGAGAGATGAACGATGAAATTGCAGAAACTCATCGCAGATTTCCAGATAAATTCAGCTTCTTCGCGTCTCTTCCCCTCCCAGATCCGGATGGCTCTGTCCAGGAAATTGATCGAGTGCGTGATATGGAGGGCTGTTGCGGGTTTGCTTTGATGACGAACGCAGAGGGACATTACCTCGGTGACGAGATATACAGGCCCGTATTCGAGAAGCTGAACGAGAGACCTACTGTTATCTTCATACACCCCACCCAATGTTGCTCCAAGGACCTTCCTGCCGCTGACAAGCCACTGGCGCAATACCCCACGCCTATGATCGAATATTACTTCGACACTACTCGTGCGGTTGTCAATCTTCTCTTAACACAAACGGTTTCTAAATATAAAAACCTGACCTTCCTCGTCTCTCATTGCGGTGCTACCCTGCCACCCCTGGTGGAACGGGTCGCAGCATTCTCGACTGGCTTTCTGAACGGGGGTACCAACCTTTCCAGCACAGACATCAAAGAACTTCTCAAGACACGCTTTTACTTTGACCTGGCTGGCTTTCCGTTCCCGGATCTCATTCAAGGATATCTCCGAATCGGAGATGCGGGCCGATTGCTATATGGCAGTGACTATCCATATACGCCAGGAACGGTGGTAGAAAGTCTCAGTAAGGTGATGGACGAGAATGTCACGGAGTTGTTTGAGCAGGATACTGTGGAATCTATATATTCCGGCAATGCAGAGCGACTTTTCGGGTTTTAAATTAGGGGTACATTCATAATGCACTTGAAATACATATTTTTGGGAGTCCCGCTGGAGGCTTTACTGGCAGTTCCCAACCGAATGAAGGACAATTTCCCGATGGATTGATTGGACACCCTGTGGAAATGGAAAAAAGAAACAATTTCGTCTTATCAGATTTGTGATCCCAGCCTTACAAAATGCGGTATCCCACACAACAAAATAAACTAGAACACCTATTGATATTATACTGTATTTCTTCTCTTATCGCCAGATTACTTGGAAATATCGTTTTCAAATGTTCACAAATAGCTTGGAGCCTAATAGGTTTCATTATACATTATTCTTCTAAACTAAAACACTAAGAACTCAAAAGGGAGTATTTCTTCGCAGCAAAGAAAGCGCCGATGCCCACCGCCAAACCAACACCGGCGAACTGCAGGATGGTGCGAATTCCATTGTTCATCTCACGATCCATATGGGCCTGGAATGCTTCCGTGGGGTATGCCCTAGGCCATGGCTCGTCGGGGACTGGCAAATCCAGGAATTGACAAATCTTATCCCAGCTATCCTTGCCAGTCTCGAATTCTAAAAGCCTGTCCGTTGGAATCGCCTGTCGAATTCGTGCGTTATGGTTAAGGTACGCCTGTTTCAAGACGGCATCATCATAATTGTTGTTACAGAAGATCTTCCAGACCATCTCGGATTTGCGAAAGAGCGGCCCCAGGACCGTAGAGTCCATGTAGTGCCAGAAGCGGAAAAAGGGTGTTTGCATAAATTTGAAGACCGTCGCATTGGCTGATTTGAGCCAAGAATCAGGATCCCGGATGGTGAGGATCACTTTTGCGTCTGGGTAGGCCTCCACTAAATCCTCCCAGAAGAGGCATGTGGGAACGTCAAGACAAGCGTCATATGAACCCATTAAACGATCGAATTCCTCGCGGCCGTATCGTGGCTTTTGTTTTGTGTTGAAGAAGTTGCACTCCATCGCTTCAATCCAAAGGTTGAAGTCTCGAGGGGGGTTCTTGAAACATTCGGAGCCATGGTAGGGGTTGAAGCCTAGTTTGCGGAGAGCGAGGACCATGGCTGGTCAAGGATCGACATTAGCTTTGTTGGACAGATAGAATTATCCTGTCCTCTTCGACTCACAGTTTGTCCCTGTTCTGGCCATTCCCATACACAAAATCTTCATGGGTTTTACCCTTGTGTTAGGTTCATTGTCGATCAGTCGTGCCATCATAAGAAACTGAAGCCGCTTGTGCACAAAAAAAACCCGACGTTTGATTGCTTGCAGAAGCTAATAGAATCGATCAAAGTGTCAAATTATCAATGTTGATTGAGCAGGAAATGCAAACAATATATCAGCAGCAGCAGCAGCTCAGCTCAGCTCGGTTATTAAATTGGCGTGGTTCAGTTGAACTGAAGTCTATTACCCACTCCGGACTACGTAACCGGTCCAGCTGGTTATTGTAGTGATCTACTAAACTTACCGATTCTGGGTTAGCCGTGTGATCGATCATATCCTTTATAGATCAAGGTTTTAATAGAAGGGCTTAAGCTTCGACATCCCTAGTCACCTGATAGCCCGTCCCGGTCAACGAAAAATGGTGTTTTGCCGTGGATTTTGCCTCTACGAAGTACTTTACTGGTGGTGATTAGAGAATTCATAAGTCCTCAGATTACTCCTCACTAACAGGCAACATACTAAACTCGCCCTCTTTCTCCGTAACCCGTGTTGTAGCAATTCTTTAAGATCTTATACTCTGGCATCTCCTAGCCCCTCACCGGTTGATCGCTAAGTCGCCTCCCAAGTAGGCCTAGCCTCAAGCATGATACCAGCCACATGGCCCAATACAAAATAGCGATGGCAAAAGGCGGCCACTGGATCTGATGCAAAACACTGGGATCACCAACGAAACAGCTCCCCGAAGATCAGTGGGGATCTAACCATTTCATTCGTTATAGTTAGCAACTATCAACTTAAATCAAAGCTTCGGTCGCAAAGTTTCCGCTTCTGCCTTGAGAGATGCCACGATACATTGAGATGCTTGTTGACCCTGCTCGATTGCTCCATCAACGAATCCCCTCCACCCGTCTGCCCAGTCGGCACTGGCAAAGATAACCCTCCCATGGGGCTTCTGGAGCCCTTGGAGGTAGGCGGACGCACATCCAGGCCCCCAACAAGCCCAACCTCCTTTCGCATAAGGATCATTCACCCAGTCGTGAGTTACGTACCCTTCGACGTCGGCGGATGGATAAATATCCTTCCGGAAGCGATCAATAATATAATGGTGGTTTTGCTTATCATCAAAGCGTCTATTATATCCGAACCCAATGCACCAAGTACCGGATGGTTCTGATCCCTGAGTGCCGTTGTGGTCGGAGAACGCAAAAACATAGGCAGAGTCGGTAGAATCGGCCGTTGCAAACCATCCTGGCTCTGCTGCTTTGAGCTTGAAGTGGATTTTTGCGCCCTTATTGATATGTCCTTTCGTCATCGCAGACTGTCTAATGGAAGATACTGGAGGGTCGAAACTCACATCCTCTAAACAGTTCCTGCTGAACATTAGCTTCAAGTCACCCGAAGGGAGAAGGTTCCATGGAAGAGTGATTATACAAAGGAATAGTAGAAACCGCGTATTTTGCTTTGATGTGTTGCCCAAGACTGGTGGTGATCCTGACTCCCAACTTATTCTGCGTGACTTCCTTCACAGTGGCCCGGAAAAGCATATGGCCCGTGTAGTCTGCTAAAACTGCTCGCGCAAACGAAGTCATGCCCCCATTCCCGATCTTGTAGACTCCAGCTAGCTCGAACACCCCCGCCATGCTGTGTCCACCTAAGGCGTACCACCGGAGTGCTTCGGTAAATGCGATATCTTTCCCAGGTGCACTACCGAAAGTGTTCGTGTTTGATTCGAACAAATCTTTCTCCCAATCTGAAAACCCATGAAGACTGTCTAATCGGTCTTTCACTGACCAATGATCATATTTCATCCACAATGCAGGTCGCCTGAATAGATCATGAGGGTAAGGCATGAGCTGTCGACTGCTGCGCCCTTCGACAGTGAAGAAGGACTGCGCAATGCGCTCCAGAATATCACTGGCATCGTCCGTAGATATTTCTCGGGGGGGTGCCGTTCCCTGTTTGAACATCTGCTTGGTAGGTGCAGCAGTGCCGGCCGAAGTCTTCAAATTGACATGTAGTCCGTATCGGCGAAGCTCGCTATAGAGGTGAGGTTGCGCCCAATGAACCCAAGTTCCTCCCATCTCCAGCTCTTCGCCTAGCGCTCGTGCCGTCCATGTACGACCACCGATCCGATCTCTTGCCTCTAATAATAGCACCTTCAAATCGTGTCTCTGACTCAATTCTCGTGCTGCAATGAGACCAGTGAACCCGGCCCCTATTACCACCACGTCATAGCGGTCATCGATAACTGGCGAGCTTTCCTGCACAGCGTCAGTTTCGAGGCCACACGTACTCCCCTTTGGAGTCCATAGAAAGCCTTCATTCGAGGATGGCGCCATTTTGGGAGAACGTTAATTTGAACTGAACGTGGAATAAATCTGGGGGATGTATCAATTGTCAGGAATGCTGGCGCCACCTTGCACATTTATATTACAGAAATTCCCAGTGGGTTTTAAGTATAATGTACTAGTAATGCCCTCTACATAGTGATGGGTAACTGACCTTGCGGAGCACATCAAATAGGAAATTTAGTGCGTTTGGTGCCGGGCTATGGGTACCGACCAATCGCGTTTGGCCCTCGTACTACAATATCAAATCAGGAAGTTGACCAAACACATCTCACTACACACCACTGCATGTTCCAGCTTCCCCAGCCATGTCTACAGTAATACATTCGTGACTCGAGCTATCAAAGTCTGCTCATTGGCCTCCCCCCGCATTTCCATGCAACCCCATAGGTGTTTGAGGAAAAGGTGATCGTGCTGCCTCGTGGGATCATGAAAGTATCGCCACGTCGAACGGTTTCTGTGTGGCCAGTTGCATCTTTCAATGTGATTTCTCCTAGACCCATGTGAATATCTTGTGGAATGTCTTTGCCAGGTAAATCTCACCTTCTATCACCACTCCAATTTCATCATAGTCATACCTCGGAGGGGTTGCTTCCGGTCCTTTCTCTATCCGAAACCAGGATCCGCTAATGGGACTGGTTGCCTTATCACTTTCAGCTCCCAGGTAGTCGGCTTTGATCATTGTAATCAGACCATTGAATTGCAGTCCTTTTCATCGGGGCCTGCCTACCGAAGAAAACATGAGGCATTCCGCCAAAGTTTGGTATCTTGAAGACATCTGTTCTGCTTCTGACTCGAAATGCCATTGTCTAGTCGGTGAGAATTTTGAAAACTTTGCAACTTGTTCATTGAATCCAGTTTGTTGGCTTTGCTGCTTGCTCCATAAACCTCTACTTATATTACAAAGAAAGATGCTAAACCAATCGCTATCAAACAGGAACTCGGCTCCACCTTTGATAGTTGGAAGGCCAATCGCGTTTCTGCGTGTTTTCCTTCCTAGTTGGGTAAAGTGCGTATTTCCTGCCTGCCGAACCACTGCGAACATGGCTCTCCACAACCAGCTTGACAACCGTTCAATGTGAAAGAAAAATCTATGTATTTATGGGAAGCACCAAATCGTCACATAAGGTTCTACCAAAGAAGGTCATGCTTACCTGTCCGACACTCGATATTTTTGAGTTGCAATACACTTTGAATATTGTCCCAAGTATTATCATGGAGGGATTTATAGAATCTCATACCACCTGGAAGAATGATGGCGTGGTCTTGCACCGTGCTTTGCACGAAGACCCTAGCAGCTATCGATCTTCATATTCCAGGGAAGATAAGATCGGAAATTGTCATAGGTCCAACAGTGGCGGCGATCTGGAAGGTTAAGCATCGCCCATGTCACATCGCAGCAGAAATGAGTAGAGTGGCTGGAAATGTACCTGAGGTTCGTATCGTAAACTATTTAATTATTGGTGCGGCAGCGTTTGTAACGGGCGCAATTCCGTATCTAAAGCTTATCTTCCCCGCATGGAAGATAACCAGGCCCGCATAAACCCCAGACGTTGGGAAATCCCGGTTTTCCTAGTCTACATACATCCAAAGGAACCTAGGAAGTGAAGCCCATCAGGACGACATGGAAATATCCACACAGACTAGCAGGAAATGCCCCTTACCGCCCAAAAGGCGGTCCAAGTCACGTTGTGAGCTGTTCCCTGTGAAGATCTCGGTTCAAAGCTAACCAGTTGAAGCGGGATGTCAGCGTTGCAAGCAGCGGGTAGGTCCTTCCCTCACGAACCGGGGGCAGAGGATAGACATGATCTAACAAAATGTAGCGCATCAAATGCGATGAGAAGGTACCCTTTTGTGGTCCGTGTATGAAAAGGGGGTTTAGCTGCCCGGGGTACCAACAACCGATGAAATGGCGTTACTTGGATGGATCTGGACAATCCACGCAGAAGCCTGGCGTGGAGGCAGACGGCAAACATTCTTCAGAGGACGGCATTGATACATTTACTCAATCCGACAGCTTCAAGGTTATCCAAAAACCTCGCGAATCAGCATCGAGTATCACCCCCACCACCTCTGAGACGTCAGTAGATACCAATGAAGGACAAAGACACAACGGCCATGATATTACCACGGAGTCACATGAACTCGATCACATAATTGACGATGGTTACAGCAGCTCGAGCTGCCTTTTCTCCCAGAACTTCTTGAATGATCTGGCTACAGAAGACATCTGGAACGTGGGCAACGACATCATGGAGTCATTGCCAGCGAACAGTATATTGGATGCAGAATGCCTGTACCCTTTGTTCAAGCCAGTCGATGACAAGTCCATTATCCTTTCAACCCATTACTTTTCCAATGTCTGCCCAATAAATTCCTGTTTTGATTCACACTTGAACCCCCTTCGCTCTGTCATCGCAGACTTGATGAACTCCTCCCAGCTGGTCTTCCACCTTGTCATGATGACATCAGCCTCTCATCTCTGTCACCAGCAAAACGAGATGATTTCCGTGGCACGACAGCACCGACGAGATGTCATCTCACATCTGATAAACAACAGAAACGTAACTGAAAAGGGGAGATTTGAAGCTATTCTGGGCAGTGTTTTATTGGGTATGACATCTGCTTGGCATGATTCAAGTGCGCTCGGGATATCACATATTCACACTGCTCGTGCGCTTTTTCAAGAGTCAATAACCGGGCCCAAGGCGTCGAGCGATCCTCAGTCCACATCTTTTTTGGTCGGGATCATGGCTTATTGGGAAGCTATGGTATCAATTATTACCCCACAGAGTCCATGTTCTCTTGACTACCTTATGCCATTCTGCGAGCAAGGAAGTCATGATACACTGATTTTTCCGAATCCGTGGACTGGGGCCTCGACCACCATATTTATTTACGCCGCCCAAGTGAACACTCTTTGTCGCCAAAACCGCCTTACAAAGTACCTGTCTACCTCGATACATTCTACCGATGTTCGTGAAAGTATCTTTCATGAGCAGTCCACGAAGGCAAGTGAGCTGGAGGCAAAGGTCTTGCAGTATTCTCCACCCATATCCAGTCGCATTGGAGATGCAGACGATCGGTTTACACCCGTGTCGCACTTTCAATGTCTGGCACAAATATATCGATTCTCTGTCCTAGTTCAGTTATATCTCACGTTTCCAAACCTGTTGGAAAAGTCAAACACAACAATGTCAACTCTCAATACGGAATCATCATATGGAACGATCCAACGATTGCCTAATGAGACTGTGGTAGGGTTGGCTGTCAACATCCTGAATCTTATATCATCAGTTCCGGAATCATCCGGTATCAAAGTGCTCTTAACGGTACCACTTATAATTGCCGGAAGTGCTCTACAGAAAGTCCAAGGTCATAATAAAGACATCGGTATTCAAGGTCATGCGACTACTTTCAGTATCGAAAAAGAGATTTTGTCTTTGCACTGCTCAGATTCCATGATCCTTCACTGGCGGTCTCTTGTGCGACACAAATTGAAAGTGCTACATGAATGTATTGGCCTTGACCCAATCCTCCGAGCTTTGCAGATCCTTGAAGCAGTTTGGCTCAGATCGGACCTTTCTGTTTCAAACAAAACGAATGCTTCTACTCAAGTATTAATCCATTGGTTGGATGTCATGGTTGAGGAGCGACTAGAATCAATCTTTGGCTAGTGTACCACTTACCAGTTGTGTAATACTATATTACGTATACAATGTATCAACTGGGTTAGCCTCTAAGCCTAATATCTGTAAAGCTTCATTTACTAAGGGAAATATCGAAATAAAGCCCACCAAATAGGCTACCAAGCCAGCTCGGCCTTACCACAACCCTCGAGCTTGGCACAGAAGTCAATCTCATCATCCAAAGACGTTGACTTCATCGTCTTTCTCATACTAGGCCATATCTCTCTACCCTTGGATTCTTCCTCCTCGCGATGGGCAACCAAATTCTGTTTGACAAGTTTTTGAAAGTAAAGAACGCCCTAGGAAGGGACGGTTAGCCAACCGCTCGAAGTCGACATTCGTCTCTGAGATTTACCTTCTCGTTGAACGGCTGTAGCACACCGTTAACGTAAACCCCTGCATTCAAGTTTCTCTGTGCCCCGTTACAAAGATTCTTGTCTTCATTTTCAACCTGTTTGAAGAAGTCATCTAGCTCCTTGAAGGTTTTTTCGGATGCATCTTTATGCCGAAATACCTCGTATTGCATCGATGTCGTCGTCGCAGACGTTGGCACTACCCGCATGATGTAGAAATAATGCGATCTACAGCAATCATTTACTATGATAAGTACCGAAGGTGGAAAAAAGAGAAGCCCTTACGTCATTGTAACCGAGGCGTTCGGGAAAAAGAAAGTTGGGGCAACTTTCGTATCTGACTCGTAGCCTGGTTTGTCTTTCACATAATGCTGGATTTGCCCTCCCTGGGTTTGGACATCATAGGTGGTCAGATCCGATATGGCCGCAATGCCAGGATGCGCAACACCGCAATGGTAGCACTTGGGCTTGATCAGTCACGAGAACACTGATCAAGGTCCATGCAGTGTTCGAGTCCATACCTCGTTATAATTATCGACCAATGTCTTCCAGTTATAATTACCTGGCATATCCCATGTATGATCAAATTCATATTCGGCCATGTTGAAATCCTGCAGTCGGTCCTGGGTGTCAGCTCCCAGAAAGTCTTCATTCCAGGGGGTGGTAGGAGCTTCGTTAGCGTCAAGATTGACCCAAACAAGGCCCCTCTGATCAACATGGACATGTACAGAAAATAAACCATTTTTATCTTTTTCAAAACCAGACACATCATCGAAACGAGGGGCTTTTGCGAGTTTTCCGTTCAGCCCGTAGGACCAACCTGTAGCAGATGATGAGACTCATTGAACAAGTGCCGTGGAACTGCAAGAGCTACCATGGTATTTGCAAGCCAGGATATTTACCGATCCAGAATCAGAAGTAACGACTGGAAAGGCACGGTGTCGGCAAACATTATGAAATCCTCGCAGGTTACCCTGGCGATCAAGACAGAGAAAAAAGGGGAAGCCGGCCTCCTCGTATCTAATGAAGTCCCCTGGCTTGGAAAAACGCGATCGATGTGTGACTAGCAACCACTTCTTGGAAAAGACTGCTCGTCGTTCAAGTTGATAAAGTGGGCTTGAATGATACCATGATGCCGGAAGAGCCCGAGTCTCGGAGCTCTTCTCCTGGGATTTTTCAGATTTGTCAGAGGAGGAAAGAATTCGGAACATGATGGCTATGACTGTCTTTGGGGGGATACTAGAATTCTACGAACTATCGTAACCCTTAAGTAGGTGTATTAAATTAATAGAGAGTTGGTTGGACATATCTAGGATTTGGTTCCGATTCGTTCGTGTTTTATTGACGTTTGGGGTCTAGGGCTATGGTCAAGCTTTCTTATGGTCGACGAATCGGCAAGAGAACCCCCACGAGCGCGGAATTAGTTCAGCGATGGGGTTTGCTCATGGGCAATGAAATGCTGTGTATTTCTAAAGATTGCCTCGCCTTCGGAAAACTGTCTTCACAATCTCATCGATCATGGAGCCCGAAATGTTACCAAAGGACAAGGCAGAAGACAAATTTGGCGAGGCCGAACCAGACCAAGGGATCGGGCAAATCGATCATGTCAAAGTGAGTCTATCCATATCACATCTACTCTGTGACCACTGGTTAGAACTAGATAAATGCAGCATAAATTTGGGAAGTTGTCAATGCTCTCTCTGAGTGTCTCTCTGATGGCCACTTGGGAGGCGTTATGCAGGTAATCTTCAAGACTAGAAATTTATCCAAGCACACCAAGACGCTCACACATGTTGTAGCACTATGGTAACCGGTCTGGTCAGCGGGGGCCCACCTGCGCTACTATATGGCTTTATAAGTTGGACAATGATCCCTTGTTGAACTATATCTGAACTAATAACTCATCAGTTACCTTCTTTGGGTCACTAGCAACTGCAGCGTCCCTTGCGGAATTGGTATCCATGTGAGACATCCCTGAAAAGTTATCTTTGAGAAAGAGAAGAGAAGGCAAAGAAAGAACGAAATTTTGTCCCGGGATCCTTGCTCATAGTCTCAAACAGGTTCCCCACTGCAGGAGGCCAGTATCACTTCATCAGCAAGATGGCTCCACTGCGCATTGGGAAAGGCCTAAGCTGGGCTGTCGGCTGGATCAGTGAGATGCAACCCTCAGTTCTTGTCCTGTCATGGGGCTAATGCTTTACCTAGCCACTTTCGGATGGATCGCCGTTGCAGCAAGTGCTCCTTTTCTATCTGGTACAATGATCCAGGGTTTGTTAGTCTTGAATTACGACGATTATGTGTTCCAGAGGTGGCATGGTACATTGATATTCTGGGTAATATTGGTAATTTCGGCGATTGTTAACATTCAGGGAAGTCGTGTGCTTCCCTTAGTTGAAAATCTCTCGCTGGGGTTCCATGTGGTAGCATTCATAATTGTTCTTGTCGTGATATGTGTGGTATCGCCCACAAAGCACGTACCAGAGTTTGTATTCGTGGACACTATTAACAATTCAGGCTGGGGAAGTAATAGTATCGCCTGGTGTGTGGGCATGCTGTCTAGCTGCTATGTCGTTGTTGGTATGTGCTCAGCAACCTGCCCATGGCATTCTGATCTCATTGACTCCAAATCCTAGGATACGATGGAGCTATTCACCTTTGCGAAGAAATGAAAAGTCCCAGGACAGATATTCCTATCGCAATGATCGGCACTATACTAATAAATGGAACGATGGGGCTTGGGTTCCTGGTAGCCATCTTGTTTTGCATGGGCGATCTCAATTCTGCCCTTAACACAACAACCGGCTTTCCCATAATTGGGATATTCTATAATATCACTCGAAACAGTCGCTCTGCGACAGCATTATGCAGCACTGTAGTCATAATGGCTGGGCTAGCATCAATCCCGTTATTGACTTCAGCTAGTCGGATGGTTTGGGTTCTTGCAAGAGACAAGGGTAAGAACAACATATGACCGTAAAGGAAGTCATCACTAACAGTGCGTCCTATCAGCATTCCCTGCTAGTAGTTGGCTATCGAGAATCGATGAGAGCCGGCAAGTTCCCACAATTGCCGTTACATTTACATCTTTCCTTTTAGGGCTGTTGGGTCTTATCAATATCGGTTCCACCTCGGCTTTCAATGCCATAGTATCGTTGGCGGTGTTTGGGCTTGAGATATCATATCTCATACCAATATGCCTTCTGCTCTATCAGCGAGTGATGTCCCCTGAAAGTATTTCTCCCGGTCCATGGTCCATGGGACGTTATGGAATAGGGGTCAATGTCCTGTCAATTGGCTTTCTTGTCTTTACTTGCATATTCTTACTGTTTCCGCCATATCAGCCTGTTACGGCGGCAAATATGAACTACGCATCCTTAGTTTTTGGCGCTGTCTGTATTTTCAGTGGCGTATATTGGCTATGCAAAGGTCGGTGGGTGTACGAGGGTCCTGTTCTTCCGCAGTTCGAAGATTAGTTTCGAGTTACCTCAGGTTCTGTATCGATACTATTATCTATATTTTCCACATCCTCGTACTTGGACCTCTTGAAACTATGGGTCGTGGGGAAATGCTTTCTGTTTGCTTGTTGTTTAAACTGTCACTAGTTCTATAATCTGATTTATAATTTCAGAAGAGAAGCCAGATATATGATATAATAAAGTTCACCAATCACCTTTTCCCTACCGCCCTTTATGATGTATTAGCTGTTTTATCCTACGGATTATAAGTATTAGTTGAGTTTATTACTGACAGTATGATTTGGGCAGTTAATGGGCTGGGTATATTCCTCTGAAATAATGCACTTTAATCAGTGGCAATGCAAGTTCATCAATGGATACCTACTCTTAGACAAGAGAATCCCACAAGATGCATCATATCGGTAAGGTTCAAGCCCAGACTATCTGCCAGAAGTCAACAACAAAATCACCCCCTTCCCCTAAAAGCTCTTGAAACGACTCAGTTTCACCAATCTGGCCGATAGAGGAGATGATAAACATTGTCACCAGTGTCCTCAATTCATTCCGACCAGTAACAAGACGGGGTGTGTGAGCGTATGTGAACCGAACCAGCTCAATAATATCTGGAACATTGGCCGCAGACAACTTGAATCCCTTCAAAGTTTGCTTCAGTTTATCGAGTACCAGTTGAGAGAGTGACTCAATACCATATTTATCGGCCAGGACATATAAACTTGCATGTCCTAAGAAGACAGGGGTGAAATCCTCATTTAACTCGGTGTTTCCCCTCGGAGTGAATGTCTTTTTTGACGCCATTTCATGGGCATACAGGCTGAAATTGACAGTCGAAAACTTTCCACGAAGATGTCGGCTCCATATACTTTTCTCTCGATACGGCAATTCGTGCCCACCAAGGGCAGGCGCCATAACAGGATCTCGTGGACCAGGGCTTTGCCCACCACCTTGCTGTTGATTCCCAGACATACAACAACCTTGAAAACCACACCGATGGCTACCACCGGTATTACTATGCGGTGGCGGGTGGTCCTGTGACAGCTGCTCAATTGGCTGGTCTTCAATTGGCGGTTCTTGAGGTAGCTGTACTTCAATTGGTGTGTCTGGAGATAGCGGTTCTTCAATTGGCGTGTCTGGAGATGGCGGTACTTCAATTTGCGGTTCTTGAGATAGTGGTTCTTCAATTGACAGGTCTTCAGGTGGTGGTACTTCAACTAGCGCCTGCCCACCACCTTGATAATTACCAATTTGACTAGCATCTTTTAGTGAATCCTCTCTGTGTTGGGGGTAACTTCCATTGCTTCCATTAAAAAGCTCAAGGCAGTTGTTGTTGTTCTTCTTCTTGTCCTTCTTGCTCTTGGGGTGACTGCCTGGACTGGCCCAGCCACAGGTGTCTTGTGGATTTTCTGTAGTGTTGTCGAGTATGTTTGAGAGCCTGTATGAGCACGATGGTGGTGTATAGTCTCGAAGGTAAGCGTATTCGGTGAATCGAACAAAGGTGTCTTCGTCAACGTCAGGCCATTCGACACGTCGGACTTTCGCCTCAATCATTTCACCATTCATGAGGGTGTGCAAAGTCGGTGAAAGGTCTGCCAGGGGGCCAGAATGCACAATCAAGTCCTTTCTGTTAGGGCCAACGCTGAAGGTGAAGAGTGGTGATGAAATATATCTACATACAACATTGAGTCAGCGCCAATTACCTTTCCGTTATAAGAGTGAGACTTGCTGTCCAAATGCTCCTTCCATTGTGAATAGTGATAGAGGTCGCTTATTTGGCTCGTGAGCTTGCTGAACTTGTTGCTTTAAGAGAAATTTCGGGTGTTTTATTTATTCAAGGGTACTGGATGCGACTCGTGATTCTTCGTCAAGGAGGGGATGTAAGGGGTGGAATGTACCATTGAGAGCTAATAATGTATGTTCAAGCTAAGTATGATGCTTGAGGATATAACCTCTCGAAAAGAATATTCAAGTATAGTCAATTATCACTCTCATTGACCGGTGCGGGGCTGTTCTGCAGTTGTGACGTGTCGTTGCAGCCACACCCCTACCAATCATTCCTTCATGTGGCTCCATAGATAATGAAATACTTATAGACAGTACAATGATACAATTATTTGAAAAGTCTAAAGGAATATGAAAGAGAAAAAGCATACTCCGACTCCTTACCATCAGCGTAGCTTTACGCCGACTCCTTTTGTGGAGAGTTGATAACTTTGCTGGGGATCGAGATCTGTGATCGTTTAGGGTTCGTCGGTCATTTTTGAAGTGAAGGTGGACATTGGTTGCTTGAATAACCACGCACGCCACATGTATTCATATCACCGTTCCAATTGCATGAACGTAAAAGTTTTATTTACTATCATATCACCATGATCAGAAGTACAGGATTCTGCAGATCCAAGCCTTGTTCATAAACCTCTTTATCGTTAGTATTCCTAGATTCATGATTTTACCATAGGACCATATACCGAGCCCTTCTATCCTTACATTTAACCAGAATAGGCCAGATGGTCACTTTTCCCCATGGTCGGCAAGCCTGAACAATACATACACCGTCAAGGAACGACTCATATATCCCTCAAACGCCTGAGTCCTCTTGCTCGATGGCGTGCAATCCGTCATCGGTAATCCAGGAATCGCACGTGTCTTGCAGAAGCCCATAATCAATAGTACTCACGACCTCGTCGGCTCGTTCCACAAACTGCAGCGCAAGCCCTTCAGTAGTATGCCAGCCAATATGACAATGCATCAACCATGCTCCAGGATTATCCGCCTGAAAAGCGATTACCAGATGCGCCTTCCTCGGCAACATGGCCGTATCCCGGCGAGGCGGGTTCTCAGTGCGAGGGGACCCATCCCAGGCACCCTGTCCTTGCGAAAGAATGAAGAAGTCATACCCATGTAGGTGGATCGGATGGCCTATAGGCGCGCGAGTTTCGATGTCTAGATAAAACCACTGGTCCGCTTTCGGTAACGAGATTATGGTACTGGAATTGGGAAATGCCGACTCGCCATCGTATATTTGCATCAGGGTGGGATCTTCCCATAGGCTCTCCATTGTCGTGCTGTTGGGGTACCAGCGGAAGAGCCCTTTTGCGTTTTTATAGGTGTCGGCGTCAACCATCTCTTGCAAGTCGGGAGGGGGGACTGATTTTGGCACGTGTGGCACCAGAACGGAGGCTGGGATATCTTGTCATGCTTCATCTGGGTAGAAAAATGGGGCACTTTCTGGGATACTCGGTGTGTCTTTGTAATGCAGGGCGCCTCGGATGTTATTGGTGCGAGCATTTCCGAACACGAGTGTAGTGGTATCTCACGTATCCAGATGTAACCGATGCCTGATCAACTGTGATGATTATATCGTATCATTGACCTTTGATCCTACTTAGTAAACTGCTAAAAGGGGGGGCGGAGTACAAAACCATTCTGATAGTTAGACTATACGTAGTGTACGGTTTGATGGGTACCAGACCCATAGCGGTGATGGCCATGTTATGATAGTCGATCATGAGTTCGATGGCCATATCAAGAGCTGCATTGACAAGCCGCAATCTATACGACTTTCCTTCTGCCACCTGGAGCTTCAGCGGAGCGCCATCCGTGTGATTGCCGGTGCCAAGGAAGTTGGCGCCGTTGATTAAACCATCATCTAACAGCGGTTGACCACATAGTTGTGCGAATGGAGGCATTTCATCCACAGGCATTAGAATTTGTTCCTTACTGCAAACTTTAAGGTCGGGGTTGCCCCTACAAGAGCTAAGACACCATTCTAGCAGTGGTCAGGAACAGAACACCCCCATACACACATCCTGTCCAATTATCACTTTCACTCGCTTGCTATACGCCTGTCATCAAGTATGAAATAGATTTGACATGGTTATTTGGTATTAACCCACCAATGTGCTGGCTTTCCAAAAGAATCCTTCCATAGTCAGGGCTGGCTGCCCGTAAAACATCGAGAAACAAGGCTTTGGTTGGTAATCGCTGAAACCGAAGATCGAAGAATTGTGGGCAGACCTGCTGGGAGGGCTTGACAGAGACATATATAGTATGTACTGTGATATTCTAGAAGAAACTCTCGTTGAAATTTTCCTAGTTGATCTATTTCAACCTGATATGTTTATATCTAGACCCAAGAGTGGGGTGGATTTATTCTGGGGCAGCGACGGGCGTATTACTAATACGCTGGAGGTGCCCAAGAATAATCAATACGATCAATACGACATGCAGAAACCACCTCAGTGTTAGGACATACTCCAGGAACAATTAACAATACTTTATTTAGGGGAAAATCTCTCCTACCGGTCCAAACCACTAGTTCCCTCCATTGACCAATTTGTCATAAATTATGGTCTTGGGGCTGAGAACATTGCTTAATAAGCGAAATAAATCACCTTTTTCTCAAGCCATATGTCTGCTCGTTTAGGGCCCACCGTAGGGCGATGAAGACGCCTAAGCGTATTGCTAGAGCGTATTCGGGAGGAGGATCGTATCTTCCTTTGCTTACTTTTGAGGCGGATTAAAAAGGATTAAGGCAATTTGTTACTTTAAACTGCTTCGGAGCCTTTACCAAACTCTGTACAACCTTGACGATTTTTACTTTCTAATACGCACTTTGAGGAGCTCAGCGTGTCACACAGCCCCAATTGTAAATCATATACTAATCCATAGGTCAAGGTTTATTTAAAGTATATATAAATAGAATGCTTCCCTAGATTCGGGGTCACCATCAAACCAGGATTTTTTATCTACAGATTTCACCGCATACCTTTGACGTAGTCTTTGTTTTCTTTCTTTCTTTCTTCTTTTCTGTTATTGACTAGACATCATGAAGACTTCTACGCTTACTCTCCTTGCTTTTGCAACCTCTGGTCTGGCATTCCCGGATCCTAACGGTCATGAGTTTCGTGCCCCAGGGCCTTTTGATAGTATGTAATTCTTCCACGCTGACGATCTATAACTAACTTCCCGCCGGCCGTTCACCATGCCCTGGCCTCAATGCCCTAGCAAACCACGGCTATCTCCCGCGCGACGGGAAGAACCTAGATTACGAAATGATCAACAAGGCTGCGCAAGCAGCATACAACTTCGAGTCGGGCTTTTATATAGATGCCGTTAATATGGTTTTTGAATTTAACATCTCCACCACAAATCGACCTAATGAAACTTTCCATCTTCGCGACCTCGCTAGACACGATACAATTGAAGCGGACGGCTCGCTTACTCGCAACGATATTTACTTTGGAGACGATCTCCACTTCGATGCCACAGTTTGGAGTCCTGTTGCGAAGGATCTCGGGTTGGATCATTACCGATATGTTGACCGCTTCGTCACGGTCGATACGGCAGCTAAGGCTACTAAAAACCGCTATGGTCTTGCGATGAGTGCCAACCCACAATTCAATGCTTCTGCGCTTTGGAAACAGTTTCAATACGGGACTACAGCACTCTATCTTCTGACCCTATGGGACAATGATCACAATGCTGTGCCAAAACCATGGGTCAAAGCCTTGATGGGTACCTCAGCCTCTCTTGGTCTTGAAATTTCTCGTACAGAACTAGTCACTAACGTGTAATAGGTGAGGATCGGATTCCATATAAAGAAGGATATATGAAGGGAAACGTGACAAAAACTGGCAAGCAGATCCAGGCCATGAACAAGGCGGTACGAGATGCAGTCGGTTTGAAATCTTGAAGAGAACATTTGAGCTCGCGGACGTGTTTGTCTTTTATGGGGGTAGAGGTCGGCACGAATACATATTTGTAGCACCCTGAGATAGTCAAATCCTGTAAACGGGCATACACATGAAGGGTCTCGTGGAACGCTTGTTGTCTCCTTGGTTGGGTATCATGTGTGTATAACCTGTGGGGAGGATCCAGGTTCTGTACACAGGTGTTGATCTTCCCGTTAAGCGAAGTAAGGAACCTGAGTATCATGTTAGAAATGGGTTTACGACGTGGTTTGGGAGAAAGGTAGTTTTTACGGTTATCAAAGGGACGTGGCATTGCAAATGCCTATTTGTCGGAAATTTAGTAACGTTGGCTTTTGTAACCCTAGTTGGTATTTTGTCTTTTGTCATAAACACGAAATATGAAAGGTAGATACACAGACGAAAGGGGTAATTAATTGACTTACCTACGCCTGGCGCTATTCATTTAAGAGCTTAGTTTCCTGGAGATAGGTTTTCCCAATCTTTATCCAGTTACGGACATAATTAGTATGTAGGGGATAATTAAGCAAGCCCCTAGACACGCTAACTATCAATTTTAAGACTTTGCAATAGGTAACTGAACAATGATAACAATGATACCTTTAGTTAAGGTATTTGTTTTTATTAAGATGCAAGAGTCTCTAAATTGTCCTTTTGAGATAAATCCATCGCGCTATGAGAGATATGGTAATCCCAGGGCTCAAATATCAATAGCAAGCATCTACACATCTGAAGTCCCATCACCCTCCTCTGTGTCTCCTTTCTTTGGCATTCGCGGGAGTCCCAACCATAACAACAAAATCCCACCCGAGAGACCAATAATAAATGGCTGCAAGACCTGCACACCTCGAGCCTGCGCAATGGCGCCCACTACGAAGGGCAGCACAGCAGCTCCACCTCCTCCGAATGCTGCCGCAAAACCAATAGCGCTGACGTGTAATGCTCGTGGGAGCAGCCTGGTAGCGACAATAACTGCCGCTGGGAAGAAGGGGCCGAGGAAGAACCCTTGGAATGAGACTGCTACAGCTGATGCGTAGAAATTAGGCACGAGCCAGAGAATTAAGCCGCATGCTATTGCGAATAAGGAGTATATCTTGTCGAAGTTGATACATCAGCTGATGTGGTACGAGTGCAGGTATAAAGAAAACAGAAAGGAAAGGGGAGAAGAAAAGAATATACGAATACTTACAACTATGGCCAATTTTTCTCCGATTCGCGGAGTGATGAACCCGAGTACAACTCGACCACAGGCAATGCCTAGCCAGAACCCCGTAGCAACCATGCCGCTGGCAAAGTCCTCTCCATGTCGTACTCGCATCATGAACGTTACGATCCATCCGCCCAAGGCAACCTCGATCCCGACATACCCGAGGAGGAAGAATGCGCAAATCCAAGTGACCCTGGCGGATCGCTTCGTGAAGAGGGCTTGACGGAGGCCCCCGGCGGGTTCCTCCCCTTGGGATGTAGCATCGTGCAGTGCTGCAGCAGTGGAATCCCAAAAGACAATAAGACAGAAGGCGAGCTCGATTGCGGCACAGCCAATCTGTGTGACTGGTATTAGCGAGTGTGTCGTCGACAGATTTGAATAACGACATACCATGATATAGTAGAAGTAGTACCAGGGCACTTTTGCCTCAGTAATTAACGAAGTAGCTATGAGTGGGCTCAGAACTGCTCCTACACCATACAGTCCGTGTAGAAGTCCCAGGAGCTCGTTGGCATTAGCCATATTGCCAATCCAGGCGTTCCAAGCTGAGTCGGCTAATCCATTTCCAAACCCTGCAAAGATGAAGGAGACTACTAAAACTGGATATGGGGGATGAACGCAATTGACAATATATGCCAGTAAATGACATCCTGGGGAAATCCAGGCGACTCCGCGGCGACCGAGAGTTGTATGGATTTTGTTGTTGAGTAGGGCAGCCAAGGTATAGCCACCGAGTGGTGACAGGAAAACTAGAGAGACAATGGTATAAGAGAGATTATAGTAGTTTTCGAGCTAGGCAATTAGTGTTTGATCCAATAACACGTAGGTTTCACAGCTTACATATGGAATTAAAGGCTATAAGTGTTAGCTATGGTCCGATCAGCCGGCATCTGAACTTACCCCATACGCGGCATCATTCGCTCCCATCACCAGGAAGCTCCAGAATGTAGCCAACGTCTTGAGTATATTGGACCTGGGATGATTCCATCGTTCTGCTTCTTTGAATACTGGCTTGGCCTCTTGTGCCGACTTCTCAGCAGTTGGGCTTTGCTGCGCCAGAGCACTGTCTATGTCTGGATTGTTAGTCGCCATGCTTTTCGGTAACTTTTGGAGGGTCAGAAATCAGGACTCGGGTCTTTATATCGACAGGACCCAGCATAGCGCTAAGCCAATTGAAGGGTAGTGGAATACAGCCTAGAATTGGCCCTATAGATACTTCTTCGCTAAGTGATGTCGGTCCGACAGAGTGGGATATGATTCATGGGTCCATTGCCACATTGACCAAAACTAAGCCAGTCCACATCCCCACAGCGGTGCGACGAAGACAGATGAGGTGTTGGTCTTTTGTCCGTGAGACATCGTATCTTATACATCCATTTCTTAGCACTCCTACATAACACTATACGTATTGAAAGTCTTCTTTTTGGAAGGCCAAGGCAAAATGAGCATCAATCAGCCCGAAGCACGTGGATAGGTGTTGAGGTGTAGCACTAGTAATGAAACTTAGCTTCAGGTGCGATAAGCTTATACAAGCCAGCATAGTAGAAGAGATGAGCTTTGAAGTCTTCTAGACGTTAAATTCGATTCATTGACCTAGTTTTGTGGGGGATACATGAAGATTCTGACACCGTTTAACATTATCGGAAGTACCCAAGATGGAAAGTGATCGGGTTGCGGGCGGACCTTCTATTTCAGGATTAGTGAAGTACAGACAGAGATCTAATATTATTGGACTTTGGTTTCATATACGAAATACACTATGCTTATTGTGGAAAAACGCCCAACTCCAGATTTCCAACGCTTTGACTACCAGATCAGCAGTTGATCCATCACCCCCACCTCGCACTCCAGCTCGCACAGCAAACCCCATGGCGAAGCTCCCTTGGCCTTATGCCAATTTGTTGCTCATGTTCAATGCATCCCAGTTGATCTTTGGCCCGGTGAATTTATTCCTCCGTTCAATCCACAGCAGCATTATGAGGCAATACACTCCTACCAGGACCGCCGAACCACTATATCTACATTAGTACTCCCCAGGACGAGGGTTGACTTGAAAAGGGATGGCAAAAGGACTTACTAATTCATCGACCCTGCTGTTGCCGGTAGTTTTGTCGGGAAACAAAACAGAATCCCACTGAAGGTCAACCATACCGTGGAGAAAATATTGACTGCGTATCCCCATCGACCCAGATTAAATGAGCGTACCGGAAGCTTGTCCCGTCCTACTGTCGCCAGGATGGCCTGGGGCACAGTAAAGCTGATGTTCAAAAAGAGGATCGACATATTCACGATGCAGTTAAATGCGGTCGAACTGGCGATATAGACCAGACCGTACAGAAGACAGAATGAAACCGAGAGGAAGGTGGTGCGCACGGGGATGTTGAATTTCGGGTCGATGAAGTTCCAGTAATGGGAGAAAGGAAGGCCGTTCTGTTTTGGTAAGCATCACACATCTTAATTGTTGGTTACGCCCAGGAACATACATCTCTAGAGAATGCCCACGCGATCCGACTCGAAGTTATCCATTGGCTTGGACCGCAGGCTGACTGGTTAGTATAGTGCTACACGCCAAAAGGGCACAGACTTACTCCAATACAGAAATGTCATGAAGGCTTGCAGCGCGGTGGCGCCCACCTTGCTTCCTGTCGCTTGATAGTAGACCTCCATGCTAGGGATGAAAGCTTTGTGAACGGCATCAATGTCCTGGATGCCGCAGAGCATCACTGTGACCCACGGGACAGCTGTCATAACACCGACCAGGACTCCGAGATTACTGCCGACAGTTAGCAGAATATCAAGATCTATCTGTGGTCAATCATACATCACGAGGGGGATCCTCCGGCCCGGCTGCGGCATCTCCTCCGCGATATGTGTGACAGCTCCGATAGCCGCATAGCAGTATTGTCCCATCGTGATGCTCAGCAACCATGCTGGGGCCGTGTCCCAGCCACTTGTCCCCTGGAAGGTTGTGAGGATTTCAGGATGGTAGCGTCCCCGTCCGGAGGCGAGCACGGCTATCAAGACCAAAACTAAGCCGGTGATGGACAGGGTAAAGGTGGTTTTCGTTAAGTAGTCATAACGTCTCTGGGGAACAGCGAAGACAGGAACCACTAATCAATCAGTTACGATATCTATAATCAGACCTTGGGGGCCTTACAGGTCAACGTGACCACCAACACATAACACAAATATATCTGCCACCTCTCATGCTGAAAGTCCGGATACCAGAACACTGCTATCCCAAACGCCGAGATCCCTGTATAGATGATGCCCGATGCCGCACTCACCCACCATGCTATTACATTGGTAATACCAACTGTGTATGCGGCGAACTTCTTGTATTTCGGGGGAGCTAGAATATAGGTAAAGTGATATTGACCCTATAGGTTGTCAGCGTGGTCGAAGCATGAGAGCAAAATTGAACAAACCCCTGACGAGGGCAATGCAGAGCACAGCTCTGCCAGCCCGAGCAACACAATCCACTGCGCTACCGCTGCAATCATCACCCCAAAGAGAACGGTCGGGCCACCTCCATACGCCAGGGGTGTTCCGAAGGTTGCTCCATAACCTAACCATGAGTTGGCAATACTACCTAAGTCAGTGAACGGTACTTGTTACGGCTGGTAGGGAAAAAGCCCAACCTGAACGACAATCCAATGGCTCCCACCCAGGAAAATGACCGCGCAAGCTCGGGCCGATGGCCCTGGGCCTGGAGGACAGCATCGTCAGGAGCAAGGCTCTCGTCGGATAGTTGTTCTACCTCGTACGGAACCTGCTTCTTGATATCTGCGGTGTCAGTCATCTTGGACTATAGTGACGGAGACTGACAAAGTCGGCTCCGAGGTATGAGGGGGAGAAAAGGGATCGGGGAGATATTAGCACTACACATGTGAAATACGGTGCGTTGCGCCGCATATTAAATAGCAGCTACGCTGGTGTTAGGTTACTTGGCTATTCTATCGGACAATTGCTTGGACCTCGACACACCAAGACGGGAAGCAAGGATGTGGAATGTCCAAAAGTGGAACCAACAACGTAGGGGGTGGGGAATCCAGCTTGTATGGAATGTTAACTATGAGAGCATCTTGAACGTTAATGGGACGGTTTCTTCAGGTCATCAGCCTGTTCTTTGGCCCTGTGAGCATTTACAGCTCCTCCGAACCATGCATGTTGCGAAACTATGATGTATATGATGCAACTTCATGCTGGCGGCTGCAGGAGAATAAATAAGCACCTGCTTCAGGTTCAAACACCGGCGGTTAACGTGCACTCCTCCGCCCCCTTGCATTGGGGCCTACGTTTGACTATTACACTGGAGCTCTCCACAGTAGCAATGTCGATCAAATGGGAGACCTCATGATATACCCTTTTCCCAAATTGACCAACTTCTTTTGCCCTGGACAACATCGTCGTAGCCCTACATCAAGGCCATTACATTCCACGAAACCACGATCAGCGTGCTTTCGTTTTAACCGATAAAACCAGGAGATGTAGAGGATTGAGGAAACACCGATAAGCAGCTTAATAAGTGACTCTACAAGCGCTACGATCATGGTATGTGTCTTCTAGGAAAGCCGAAGTTGCCGGCCGAGCTATCTTATTAACCTTAAGGGGAAACCCGTCGAGCTCCCAGAAGCTCTAGCTTCGCTCTCAAGTGGCCAGTGCTTCCTCCCCTTTTCCCAATAAAACTCAGTTTTCGATTAGTAGCTCGCTAGCTCGCTGCCTTGGTAGCTATAGCATTGCGGCTCGGCAGTAGCCAGACCTAGATCCCTCTTACATCAGCACTAACCACTCGATTCACATGTTGAATGGCTTGGCAGCACCATCGAATACGATCAGGAGTCCCCGCAACAGAAATAGCAAACCCCACTCTACTCAGTACTAGGATATAAACCCTTGAACCCCACCCGTAGATCCTCTACCGATCCTTGCGATAACAACATTCTCAGACGCCTCAGCACCCCTCGATCATGGCAGAAGCCAAGTTGTACGCAGGAAGTTGCCACTGTGGCCAAGTCAAGTACTCCTTTTCCTTATCGCCACCGATTGAGGAACAGGAGGTCGTCCAGTGTAACTGTAGGTTTAACCTCGCTATTCCTATTCGATCTCACCGTTCGGCGATTTAAACCGAATTATGGCATGCGGCATTTGAGCCTAATTCCCCCAAACTGGGCTAATTTTATCCTGAATGACGCAGGCTCCATTTGCCGTATTAATGGCTATTTACTTGTTTATCCGAAAATTGACGATTTTGAGTTTCCGAGGGAGGATACTGTCAAGGTTTGTTTTGCTCTTCCTGACTTCCTTTTCTTGCTCTTTTGTTGTTGTTGTTATTAATCCTAGGAATCTGTGTTGCGTCATTCGACTGGGTCATTTTATGCAGGGCATTCATAATCTTGACTAAATTTTTTTCCCTTCGCAGGCTTATCGCTTTGCGTCAGAGCAGGTCCCCCATTATTTCTGTACGAATTGTGGGACCAGTCTTTATGCAAGAAGTACTATTCCGCGTTTCAGTCATATTGTGGCGCTGAATGTAAATTTCCCTTTTCTTTTTTCCTTTTACCCGTTCTAAAGAGTGTGTGGTTAATGTTGTGTCAAGGTACGCACCATTCCCGATGTTGAGATTGAATCTTTGAAGATTAAGAAAATGGACGGAAAGAGTATCAAGTTTGAGAAGCAGAGTTGATTTCTGAGACGGTGATGGCTTCAATGAGACTAGCAATATAATATATAAGTAGATGGGTGGGAGGTGTTGAATGCTGTTTAGGATTAGTGTTGTGTACATTCCTGGTTATATATTCTTGCATATTGTCGACTCAGTTGGATATTCAGGAGTTTTGCTTGATGGAGGTGCCATGGTAAAAGTACGTATATATTTTAGTCAATATGAACTTTATAGGTGGTATTTGAAAGCTTGTACATGATAGTTGAGAATGCATATGTGAAGTTGTAGAGTGTCTGTCATATGTAAATTATCACTAATCTGCTGACAATGACGTTAAAGACATGCTTCGCACACGTTGAACCCTCGTCATTTACCATCGTGACTAGTGATCAGCAGGCAAGATATATTTCTGAACAACACATGACACCTGTCACCCATCTAGCACATGACCCTGGTTGAAACTGCCTTACCTTATGACTCATACTCTAGGACAAATGCATTCCTGAGGCACCCAGCCGAACTGCGGGCTCAGCGTTTGCCTTCACGGATTTTGAGTCCTATTCGTGGTAAATTCATACAGCGATCGGGAACCAGTAGGTCTCCAGGTAAGGTATAGTATGTGGTAGCCATGTGTTTAGGCCTGCATTTATCATTCGATCTGCAAATTAGTCTTCCCGGCCTAAGATGATCGGTAAGCAGGAATGAGCTTAACTATACTCTCGACAGAATGCCTACCCGTATTGGCTTAGCGTTTAGGTCCTTGATTAGCCTTACTGATCTGGATCATCCGGGAGCTTACACACTAAATACGTATGTATTAGGGCACTGGATTTTGATAGTAGGTTAATGAGCCTAGTGATGCGGCCAATATAAGACAACAAGGGCCTTGTAGGAACGTCAAACTACATGACTCCAAATGTATTAATTCTGTATTGCTTCACTCAATAAATGTCTACACAACTTTTGCATTATTTGGTTGTAGCTTGTCTTAAGACCTACTACGAAGCCAGCCAGCTTTCACTATACTGTATTTATATTTTTCAGAGAAGGTATGTGTCGTTGTCCTTGTCGTTGTGGAGTACACCTCACCTCGGCAATGTTGCTTTGAAAAAGTATCGCCATGTACACCTACAACTCAAGTACGCTGCCGCGACAGCCGAAACATATTATGGCTTCATCTCAAAGTATACGGGAAGGGAAATTGGTCACTGTCGGTTCTATGGCAGAAGTAGAGACCGCCAATTCTGGGTGTTGTCGCGATTCCCACGGTCGAGTTTATCCTTATAGTTACCTGGAGAGTATCATTGTGATTAGCCAAGGAAACTTTGCATAATGGAGTAGTGCGATATGATGTTGTGAATGATACCTATCCTGAATGTCAGCGCCCGCGTTTCTCTAATACTTTTTGATCTTACTGCTAAGTAATATAGTAGAGAAGGAAGTTGGCATTATATCTCGAGCTGGGGGTGAGCCGCAAAGTAACCATCATATGTACTTATCTAAGTCGATTGTAGGGAATAGACAATGTAAACGATGACAGCGAAGAAAGGCAAAAGCCACCCCGCGATAAATTCACATCTGTGTTGGTGCCCGATAAGTGTCGGGTATAGCTTTAACCTTCCCCCTTCGGATAAGTATGCATGTGTTCGGCGAGTCTCTGAGATTACTCCACGATAAGATCAGAAAGCAACGATAACGACCATGAATGTGGAGAGAGAGAGTAGTGGTTATGAATGGCACATAAGTGATTCTGCCAGGCATTAGGGCAACTGTATCTCAGCCTAATCAGCGCTTGATTGGCTCGGCGTGTCTACAGAAGCCTTGGAAGATCCGAAAAGAGTTCTAGCTACGAGTCTAACATATACCCCCATGTGGTCTCCACTTTCAAGCAGTAGTATCGCATGAACTTTCCTATTCGGTGTCTGCAGGAACGCGGTGCATGAGGGTGAGGAGCAGTAGTGGAGTTTCAAACTTCGATGGAGCGTTTGTGGTAGACCTAGTTGGATGCCACCAATATTCGCTGCGTACATATCTGTGGAGTATCACTTATCTTGAGCACGCTATGTATAACCTACAGCAGAGGATATAAGCGTAGTGAGCTCGGCTCCTAGAAGGAATAAGCATCCATACGGATGCAGTACTTACGTTATCGTATGAATCTCGGCGTACATGGCACCGAACAAAGTGGCGGCTTGCTCGGGCAACAGGTCCAATTGACTTTCTGCAATATTTGTGGTTGATCTGTAACTATTTTGATATTCGTTCTTACTTTAGTTCAAATAAGGCTTGGCCACATCGTTACGTGCTTGGCACATAGTAGCATCTACTAGTTCCAGTAGCATTCGAGGGCGGCCCAATTCCGAGGAAGAACTATTCGATCAATCCTTGGACATCGCTTCTTATCCTTTCCTTGTAGGGTAGGAGGAGACGATTTCTGCAGACACTGACATCCACAAGAAACTGTAAATCTGACAAGAGATCATGCTGGTAAATCAAAAAATAATTGGAGTCTTTGAGCAAGATGACGACCCCATACGCTATATCCCAGCCATGAGCCGTTAATACTAATCCTGGACGGCCAGACCCCCATGGGCATAAGGACATCGGTGACAAGTGGATCGACAAGCCATATTTTTGGTTGCCTGGAACTTCCCCGCATTTCCAGTGCCCCTTCCCAGACGGATGTGGGTTATGATCAAGGTTCAGCCTAAGATAGGCTACTGATGTAAGATGAGTCCGTGCCGATCTTACTGGGAGAATGCGATAGTGTCATACACAGGCTGGCCACGAGGACAAGAAGCTCTCGGTGTTTGACGTTCCCACCTTCGTTTTTACGCCACCGAGTCAAGATACGTTGGTATTCGCATATTCTTTGTGTTATCGCAGCGGGCTGGAGATAGTCGACGGATCGACAATCAGGGCGTTATCACGTTTCGCATAGACTTTCCTAATCGGGACGTGGCGAAGTTGTTTAGTTGATTGACTTTTGAAGAGCTGATACCAATTCATACATGTTCGGTATGTATGTACAGTGGCTATCCCGGTGCGGCTGAGGACAGCTGAGTGCATGTATGCATACACGAATCGTGTCTATGTAAAGGAAAAAAAAGAGCGCATCCTATAGCATAGGCGTTGTATAGGAATTTCCTTCGAACGAGTGGCGAGGAATATTACCTCGTAGAAGCTGTTTCTTTTGTTCTCTCTTAGTAGTAGAGTAGAAGATGTAACCGTGATACTGGGAGAAGAACCATGGCTCCAATGCCGAAAGCCAGCAAAACAGCACCATCCCCACTTAGGATGTCCTGCCGAGTTTAACACAAAAAAAACCCCGCAAACTTTTTACGGCCCGGAAAAATTAAAGGGAAAA